TTGCTGGAAGACAATCAAAGTTGCCTGAAGCTGACGCAGAGTGAGAAGTTCCTGGCCAGAACAAAACACATTGGGGTTAAATACCACTACATACGCCAGATGATCCAGGATGGACTTGTGGAACTATCCTACTGCAGTACCCAAGAGATGACTGCTGACATCCTGACGAAACCCCTACCAAGAGAGAGTTTCCAGAATCTACGTGTCAAGCTGGGACTCTGGGTGGTTGAATAAAGTTGTTTATGTTTTGTGTATGTTGTATTGCCTGAGAAGGGGTATGTGGGATGTAAACACAGGAGCAGTCAATGACAACATTCCTAGAGTGTACATGCTAGAACATGGGGGGGATGTCTGTCCAGCAAGCAGGTGAACTTCCTGGGGACGGACTTCCTCCACATGTGACCAGAGGTGGGTGTGGCCTCACCTGTGCAGGTAATAACAAAAGCACAGGGCAGGCAGCCATCTCTCTCTCTCTGCCATTTTCCTTCGACGAGGAAACACCTAAGGATGCCCTCTTGGCTCCCAGCCAAGAGAGGAGATAAGGCCTATCTTGCTATGAGATAGATTCTAAATCTATGTAACCTTTTTAAGCTGTGCCTTCTGGGATCACATTGTGAACAGGACGTGAGTAAACTCTTTTATACTTTTATGAAGACTGTGTCGTGTCTTGTATTTTAAGAGGGAACTAAAGGGGAAATTACCAGGGTAATTATTATAGAGGTTCTAGCGAACCTGTGCACACGTTACCGTTGCGTACTAAAGGGGAATGTATGTAAACTCTGCTGATATTTTGGGAACTTGTTGGCACAAGTTGGATCAGGATATAATTAGTCAATATATCCTTTCCTGCACCCCAGAACATTCCCACAGTATTTATGTACGTAAACCTCGGGGGGGGGGGTTGCTACTGAATTTATTCTATTTTTGCTAAATGGTTTGTTTCTGTCATTTTTAAATTTACTGTCATATTCTGTATTTTGTACATTTGTATTTCCAATGCTCTTTATTTTGATGTTTTGAATGTTTGCTGTGAGCCATTTTGGGCACAGCTCATTGTGAAACAGATACATATAAATAAACTAAATCAATCCCAATCAAGAGGGAAGTAACTGAGACAGCTTATCCTGGTTACTAGCACCCAGCTCCTCATGAGGGTTGGGTAATGCCACAGTGATCTTTGTTACTTGAGCTCATCTTTGTTATTTGAGCTCAGTTTGTAGGACAATCTGTGCATAAGACGAAGGCAGAAAACAGAGAGCCCAACCCATAGGTGGCGCCAAAGCCAATAATAGGTAGAGCCAACTTATTCTAGTTCTGTTTCCGCCTGCCCCAATGAGAGCTACAAGAGGATCACAGATACGAAGGAGGAAGCAGTGCCAGGGCTAGCTGAAAGTGAAAAAAGAAGACAGGTGGGGCAGAGGCATAGAAAGGGGGTGTGGTGGGTGCGGGCCGCCCTGGGTGTCATCATGGGGGGAGGGGTCACAAAATGGCAGGCGAGTGGGCGGCACACCTCATGCCCGGCGGCAACAGCTCTTCTGACCTCGCTGCAGAGAGCAGCCCTCCTCAGCCATGGCGAGGTGCACCTGCCCGCGGCAGCTCCATTACCGGGTCTGGTTTCAGAGAGTAGGAGAGTCACCAGCAATGCTGCCACCTGCCTTCCTTGGCGTTGGTGCCTCGTGCCCAGCTGCAGTAGCTCCACCGCTGGGTCATGTCTGACCTGGAAGCAGAGAGGAGAAGGAGGAGAGTGAGCAGCAGCTTCCCTGCCCCTCTCCTCCCCTGAACATTGGCATGTGGGAGGGTACCCTTTGCGCCCTGCCCTCCTCGGGAGCTCACATACCCTGGGCAGTGCGGGCATATGCTCTGCTGCTGAGGTGGAGACTGGCTAAGGACAGGCTAAAGCAGGCATTGCGCCACTCACCCTCAGGGAACAGTATCCACTGCTGTGGTGCTTTGTACACTTTATGATTTATGCATACAATACATTCATGCTCTGATGTGCACATATTTTCCTAGTACATGCATGTTTGTACATATTAATCGCTGGTGAACAGCAAAGCAAAATTCAGACAAGTGTGGATTTCATCTGTCATGGATTCCTGCATTGGAGGGGGTTGGACTAGATCAGTGTTTCCCAACCGGTGTTCCGCGGCACACTAGTGTGCCGCGAGACGTTGCCTGGTGTGCCGCGAGATGTTGCCTGGAGGGAGGCGGGCGAGTCGGGCGGCGAGAGGCGGGGCGGCGGCGGCGAGGAGAGGCCGCCCAGCGCGGGGCTCTCGCCGTCTGCCTGCCTGGCTGCCTGCGAGCTTGGCGGGCAGCGCCTCCGTCCGCAGCGCCCGCCTCGCGGCTCTCATTCCCTGCCCCTGCCAAAGCTCACCCAGCTAAGCCGCGCTCTCCTTCCTGCCTCGCTTTGCTGCCTCCTCCCCCCCCCAAAGCTTGGAGGTTCCCAGGCGCCGACCCGCAGGTTTGACCCCCTTCTCACACCTGTTCGTGCTCCTTGCATGGAATGGGGCGGATGGGGAGGAACGGGGCTCGCCGCTGCCTCCGCTCGCCCTCCCCCCTCCGCCGGCGGTCCCGCGATTCTTGGCTTTTTTGGCGGTTGGCACAGAAGGAAGGCAAGGGGGAGGGGAAAAAATTGAATCTTACACTTTCGTGCGTCCCTCCCGGCGTGACGCTGCGCGCTGACGTCACGGGGCTGTAATGGTGGAGTGCCTCGAGATTTTTTTCATGAAACAAGTGTGCCTTTGCCCAAAAAAGGTTGGGAAACACTGGACTAGATGACCCTTGGGAGCCATTCAAAATCCGCAATCCTATGAAACCTGAAACTGTCCTTAACCTGAAGCACCACTTTAGCTAATGTGGCCTCCTGCTGCAGCCGCGCCGCTGAAGCACAATTTCTGTTCTCATCCTGAAGAAAAGTTCTTAACCTGAAGCACTATTTCTGGGTTAGTGGAGTGTGTAACCTGAAGCATATGTAACCTGAAGCATATGTAACCCAAGGTACCACTGTACACAGAAAAGGTAACGCCTCAAGTCGTCATAGTGTAAAATAAAAGAACTGCAACTTGTGTTGAATTTCTGTGTGGGCACCTGGTGCGCATTTCCTGTTTTTAGCTCATAGTTTTCTCAGCCTGGATGGCTGTGGACAAGCTTGTCAGTTACTTCACACTATTTCCCTCTTAGAGGGAGCTTTGGCTGCAGCATTTCTTATGCCTGAGAATAAATGCAGGAGCCACGTGGTCCTTCTCTCCTTTGGCCCATGGGTAAGTCCCTGGGTAGGAAAAGCTGAATGCATAGGGTGAAAATCTATATAGGTTTACTTGGTCATGAAGGGGAAAGTAACTGATAATGCTGAGCTCATCTGGAGAATAGACCTCCTCCTTGAAAGCACCCCCCAATCTCAGGGTCAATGTGGTTTGGCACCTGCTGGGGGCTCACATTCCACTGATAAGAGCCCCCACCCCACCAGACCTTCTGCTCCTTTCCACCACTGCTTTCTCATTCTGGCCCAAACAATCATGGTGGCTGTCTTGGGCCCAGGGGGTGGGGGCGCTGGCCAGAGGAGGCTGGGGATAGTAAGGAATTGCCCAGGCAGGATCCCCCAGAGGGACCGTCTAGACTGGGACAGACCCTGGGGAGTTCAATGAACCATCCATGGGGAAGATCCTAGAAATGTCTTAGTGGGGAGGGTTCCCTTTGTCCTGTCTAAGCTCCCGGTCAGTCACCCTAGTGTGCAGCACTGGCCTCATCTTCAGAGCTGCCAGAGTTGGGCTCTGGCTCAACCACTGTGCCTATGGCATGACTGGCTCCACCACCATACCGGCTAGACTGGGACAGATCCTGGGCAGCTCAATGAGCCAGTCAGAGGGAGGATCCTAGAAAGGTGTGGAGAAGGATATGGGAGCCAGCTGCATGCCATCTTCCTCTCCCCTCTGAACTGTATTTAAGCCAGTTATTGTCAGTTAACGCTTTGTTGCTTTGTATTTATGTACCTAGAATTGTTATTTCTTTTATAGGGGGAGGGTTATATCAAATTTATTCTGTATTTGCCCCAAAATACCATTCCCATCATTTTTTAATTTACTGTCATATTCCATATTCCGTACATTTGCATTTCCAATGCTCTGTCTTTTGATGTTTTGAATGTTTGCTGTGAGCCACTTTGGGCAGAGCCCATTGTGGAAGGAACGCATATAAATAAACTCAATCAATCCCAATCAAGAGGGAAATAACTGAGACAACTGATCTTGGTTACTAGCACCCAGTTCCTGGTGAGGGTGGGGCAATGCCGGAGTGACCTTTGTTCTTTGAACTCAGTTCGTGGAATAATCTGTGTGTATGACGAAGGTGGAAGTTAGAGAGCGCCACTGGAGGTGGGTCCATAGCCTATGATAGGTAGAGCCAGTGCTTTTTTCTGGGGGGGGGAGGGAGGGACGACGCAGGGGTACGCATACCCCTAAACATTTTGTGAATCTTTGTACTCTTGTTCAGTTAGTGTATTTATTTTTCCTGATTTCAACTATAAAATGGTGATTATAGTCAAAATGAGAGTAACCCTAAACATTTTTTAAGAAAAGAAGCGCTGGGTAGAACCAAATTATTCTAGTTCTCTCACTGCCTGCCCTACTGAGAGCTACAAGACTAACACAGATACTAAGGAGGAGGCAGTGTCAGGGCTAGTTGAAAGTGGAAAAAAGACAGGTAGGGACTGGCTAAGGAAAGGCTGAAGCAGGCAGTGCCCCACTCACCCTAAGGGAGCAGTCTCCATTGCTGTGGTGTGTTGAACATTTGCAATTGTTTCTCTTCTTTGCAATGGTTTTGCAGGACTCCGAAAGGTTGGTGATCGCCAAATGCTGGTGAGAATCAAACACCTTTTCTTAACAGAAACCTTTGACAGGCAGGTGTATAACACAGAGAGAAACACCCTGAGCGCACTCTCTTTCTCCTCCTCCACTGATCCTTCCTTATCAGGAGAGGAACAAAGAGGAGGAGTCAGAAACAAAGGAGGGAAAAGACAGTTTTGCTTGGATGAGAAGGGGAGGGAAAGCGTGCACAGACAGCCTTGCTGGTTTGAAGAGGAGGATCTGATCTGCTTCCTTTTGTCAAAAAGTTCACGACACTTGCAAATAAGACCCTGTACTTGGGCTACGCTTATAAGGTGGATGAGCAGGCTTATTTTGGAGCACCTATCCTGTGCAGACAAATGAAGCTGTCCTTCTCAGCGTGGTGAAACAGATGCCTCAATGCCCACAGGCAGGCGCTGAGCTCAACAGCGGCAAGTCTCCCCATCGGTGAGTCCCAGAAACGGTTCGTCCGGCGCCTCACTGCCGCTCATGGCTCTCTGCACCTCTGGAGAGATACGATGGTGGATTTTTCTCACAAAGTGCCTCTTCTTCGGACTATTGCTGTTCTCTTCCTTGGGTAAGGACTTCACTGCTTTCTTTCTTTCTCTCTCTCACTCAGAAACCACAAGTAACCACCTACATGCATGGAGGGGGCACTCTGAGTTTGATTTATCATGAAGAGGGAAATTACTGTAGGATTACCGGATGTCCCCGGTTCCCGGGGACAGTCCCCAGGTTTGCAAATCTGTCCCTGGCAAATGTGGAAGTGACAGCCTCAGCAGCCCGGAGCCAGCCTCGTAGTGCAGTTGGCTCTGGCTGGCTTCAGGTGGTGCCCGCTGCTGTGGTGCCCACCATTTTTCCTTGCTGGAACTTCCAGCGAGGACAAAGTTCTGATGTAACTTCCTTCAATAAAAAATGGCAGTCACCATGGCAGCGAGCAGCTCCTGAAGCCAGCCAGAGCCAACTGCAATACCAGGCTGACTCCAGGCTGCTGTGGCTGTCACTGCAACTGCCACCGCCAAAGGGGAAACAGGTGCAAAAGAAGGGCTTTGCACTTTGCCTGGCAGAGAAACCACGTGCCTTGCGCCCCTCCTGGGCAACTGCCACCCGCCCGCGACTCCTGAGCCTCCCCTGATCTGTCAAAACAAAGGGGGAAAGGGGCAGGAGATTGGGGAAGGCTTGGGAGTTACTGGCAGGCAGCACGCCGTTGCCCAGTTTTTTAAAAACTCTGTGCATTTATGTTTCACAGGGTGTGAAAGAAGGGTTTGCACATTTGTACAATATGCATGTGTGCTTGGGCTCAGGGTCTTTTGCCTCACCATCGTCACTACTGACTCCCTGTTGCTACTCAGCTTAAAAAAAAACAAAAATGTGTCCCCAGATTCATTGAAAAAAATCTGGTAACCATATTGGCAATATTGGTTGCTAGCACTCAGGGACTCCTCTCCCCAGTTGGAACCCTTCTAGAACACCCTAGCTGGCTTCAAAGGGAGCTCCCCATAGTCCATCTCAGCTGTTAAAACCAGCAGAAGGGGCACTCTTGGTAGTTTCACCTGCCTCAAAAATATGGGGAAGTGTCAGTCCAAGAGAAAACCTTCTTTGTGGCAGGCTGCTAAACTGTAGATGTCCCTCCCTACAGAGTGGCGCCCGGCACCTTTAGTGTAGAGTTTCCATTATATGCTGAAGAGTCACCTCTTTACCCTACCATTGACACCTGCAATATAATTTTTATTTTATTATTTTATAATAATTTTAATATTTTTTATTAATAACAATCCAATATGACCATATAATTACAATACCAAATAAAAATTCAATTAAAAAAGCCAATTGTCAGATTCCAAATTAAACATTTTGGTTGACTTCCCCTGTTCTGATTTTAGGAGATTTTTAGGAGATGTTGATTCCGTGTTCCCACTCCAATCCATTTATTTAATCCAAATAATATAGTTCCGATGTTGATCCTTTATTTTAACAGCCACTGGTGTGTTTACTTTCATTTGGATTTAACTGTTCTATATCCTTTAATTTGGAAGAGGAGTTTATATCTGGTAACTCTGTGTGGAATGTGTGGTTTTTTAACATTCAACTTTACTTTCTTGTTGCAATCAATCATTTTCGGCATTCCCCCCCCCCCGACTCCAAGGACTCAATTTTACTGCGTAGTGACCTTTCACCATCTTGCTTCTCTTAAAAACGAAAGTGGTTTGGTGTCTGGCATCTGGCCATTACTCCGGGCTGATTTCCAGCTTTTGAATTGTTTCCAATCCAATAACAAGCTGTTATCTCAACAACACCCTAATAAATCAAAGTTCAAGACCTCCGTAGGAGGGTATAGCCACAGAACATCCCAATATTTCCCAAACAGTTCCATTTTTTCAGTTAATCCATAAGCATTATAAAGTTCTTATTGATTCCCTCTTGCAGTCCATTAATAATTGCAATCCATTAATAATCACAATCCATTAGAAGCTAATTTTCTTCTTAAGTGAAGTGAAGAAAACCAGAAGTCCTCTGCAAAATAATTGTTAGGACCCTCCTTATTACATTTTAAGACTGCATTTTAAATTGCAGTGACCTACTCTGGGACCTCATGATGGAGCTAAAAACAATAATGATTATAATTTTCACCTTTGTTTGTATCTCCTCCCCCACCACCCTCCCCTCACTAGAAACTTTAAGCCATGCAGTGGGGAATCCAACCCATCAGGTGAAGGGAATGCTGGGAGGATCAGTCTTGTTTCCTGCCAATGTATCTCTAGGAATAACAGTGGAGAAAATGGAATGGGACTTCCGCCCACAAAGGCATAACCTGGGCTATTGGTGGGGGGAATTCAGTCATGGGAAACTGGAGCACCCAAGTTTCAGTGGCCGATTTGGACAACGGCTAGACATGGTGGACGAGACAACACTGAGGATCAAAGACCTGGAGTTGGATGATGGTGGAATCTACAATACTCGCATCTGGTTTACTAAGACACAGTTTCAAGAACAGAGTTTCAGCCTCACCGTTTATGGTAAGTTATTGATTTCACTGTTTGGCTCATGGAATAGGATTAGCATTATTTTGCAACATAGGTACTGAGAGGCATGTGGGACACAAAAAATCCGTTCCTTTCATTTGTGTTCCACAGAGCCAGTGCCAACACCACAGATACACCACCAAGTGGAATCCAAGACTCCAGATGGATGTAATGTGACCTTGCGATGCCACACACCTGGAAGGGAAGATCTCAGTATCTCCTGGGAAACAGGGGGTCCACACAGCGCCTTAGGAAAGAGTGTGAATCAGTACCAGGTTTCTGACAATGGCCAGGAGCTCCATATCTCCTTCTGGAACAGTTCTTTCGACTCCAAATTCACCTGCCTGGTTAGCAATCCTGTTGATCAAAAGGGAGCCTCCTTTGACTTGCTCAACATCTGCCAGAGTGATGAAGGTGAGCAATATATCCTTTCCTTCATTATCCAGAGGAGGTGCTTGTGGTGGTGAAAAGGCAGGCTAGCCTTTAACATCAGGGATTTGAAGAGATGTGTTTGTATTAATAAATGCTGCTCTTCAAATGCTTGTGAGCAGGATCGGACCATACACAGAGCCCCTTGAAGACTGATCTGATCCTGTGAATTGCTGCTGCTGCCCCCATCTCCTCCTACTCCTAGCTTAAGACATCGATTCAGGGCAGGCAAGTGTGTCTGACGGCATTCACAGCCCAAATCATTGCAATACAAATGTTATAGATTAGCAACGCTTTTTTATCTCTTGTTATTTATTCTACTGCTCTCAGCTGAGTGTGAACATGAGACTCCAAATCTTGGGGTCATGAGTTTAAGCCCCACCTTGGGCAAAAGATCCCAGGGGGTTGGACTAGATTACTCTAGTTGTCCCTTCCAACTCTACAATTCCATGGTTTTGTGAGACTCTGGCGGCTGTTATTAAAATGTTTTGAGAAACTCTTATTGCTCATTACAGGTGGACACCTTCAACTCTTGAGTTGGAGTCCATGGCTTATCTCTTCAGTCATAGTTCTTCTGGTGAATGATGGTGAATTGGATGAGCTGGAAGATCAGATTAGAAAGGAATAGAAGAGGTAGGACCATCTCTATTGATTTTCCCATCTTGCCTGAGATGGGGGCTTCCTGCCAAATATATCTCTTCCTTTATTTTGCCTATTCCAAGTGAGAGAGACTGGTCAGTGCCATGAACTAAATAATGTGTCTCATGTTGCATTCCACAGGTGTTCCCTCTGTGATGCGAGAGAAAGGGGAGAATATCCGGAGCTCAGGAGTGGCGATGATAAGGTGAGATGAACAGTGTGCAAAGTAATGATGGAGTGATTGTTATATAATATCAGTGAAAGCATCTGATACATTTTGGAGGCATTTAATACTTTCAAAATTATTATTAAAGTGGCAATCTCTTATATTTAAAGAAACAAAAACAACAACAAGCAGATTTCAAACAGGCCAGTGACCCGATAATAAATGGCAATCAATGTGGCACAACCTGTCACTACAAACCATCTCTGTTTGTCTCTTAACATTGTCTATTGGTGGCACTGGACTCCATCACATCGAGCCAAAATAAACTCTAGCATCTCTCCCTTATGCTGGAAAGGCTCATATTTCCATGTATGGTGGAGCTCCATGTTGTAATACTCCAACTGGGAAAAGGTGTTTCACGCTGTTTCCAAAATTACGCAGCAATCCACTCCACCCACATCAGCTCTTGCCTTGTTATCATTAGACTCAAATTTAAACAATAACCTTAAATACAGAGACTTTGTATTTTTACTATTATCAGCAGCCCAATTAGGAATCAGCCAATACTGGAAACAACTATAGAAATCACCACAGAAGGGTACTTAAAGGCACTTCAAAGATAGACACTTTTGGCAAGACTCTTTTCCTTCATAAAATGAGACACAATATACTTTTATTCCACCCACAACCTAAGAATCTCTGTGGAGAGGCTACTTGAATTGTCAATACATAAATAAATGTATTGCTTGTGTACTGTCTGGTACATATGAAACTTAATAAGACTGTACCACTGGACAAGTTACTGTAGTTATATGTTGCTCTTGTATTTACTGTACATTAAAACCAATAATGATTAATTGAATTTAAAAAACCAAAAACAGGCCAATGACCCAAACCTCCTGATCAAAAGACCTAACAAATGGATTATGGCACAAGGGGAGGCAGGCAGCTTGTGCAAAGATCCTGTTCCCATCAGGAGAACACCCATGCCCAGTTAAAGCGAACAGAATTGAACCCTCCCCTCTCCAGCTAGTGAATGGAGAACTCAGGCCTCTGGCCGCAGGGCTCTGCTTCCCACATCCTTCCCCCAGTGAACCCAACAGGATTGCTCTCTCCCCTCACCAGCTGTTCTGGACTCTTCCCAAAATACTCCTTTTATCCTTGATTATTTATCATTGATAATAACTGAGTGCTGGAGAATGGAAATGACATATTTTTGTCAGTTCAAAACTGGCAATTCCACCTGTTCTCTTAGGGACTTAGTTATGGCAAGTTCTCCCATGGAACTAAAAAGCTAGCCCCAAGGAGTGGAACTGAGGTGCAGGGAAGATGCCTGCTTTTAGGCAAATTGGTATATCTTCTTGGAGAACACTGGACTTGGACAGGACTTTAATTTTCTTCAGGGTTCAGGTGGGCCCAAATGCCCAGAAATTCTTTTAGAAGTTGCATCCCCAGAGTTCCTCCTGTCATATTTTCTCTCCAATGCAGATTGAACACTGAATCCCACAGACCAACCCTGCAGGTTGACTCAGAGAAGGAGGAATTCTCAAGAAGTTCCACACGATCCAGAAAATGCTTTCCTTCTCTCACTTCTTGTACAGTCTCAGAAACAGAGCCCTCAGAGACTGAACATTACATGAGAGGTCAGGCACATCTCCAGGAGCCCCTGCTGAGGAATTCACCGAGGGTCCCTCAGGGGACAGACCCATTGCTGATCTCTCAATGCTGCCAGTTGAGCCGGAGCTACAGCCTCCCTAGCAGCCTTCAACACTGGCTCCCAAAGTCCCCTGACCAGGCCAAAGAGCAAGATAGAAAGACTTATCCAGTGATTATGGAAGGGGTCTCCTTGAGAGCAAGGAGTTCCAGAAATGCCGTCATCACCAGCACCAGCCAAGAGCATCTAAAGCACTCCTCTTCAGCCTCCCTGTTGACGGAAACAGCACAGGAAAGATTGGATGAGTGAAGATACCCATCAGGAACAGGTGAGGCAGAGAGATAAAAATCTGTCATGGATCAAGAAATGCATAAAGACCTACATCAGAAAGAAGCATGGGAGCAGCACCTCCTATTTGCCAAGAGGTCCCTGCAGAGGCAACGTTGCAGGCCAACATTGCCAAGGAGATGGAAGAGCTGGCCTCAATGCTGATTGAACTCTGCATCCCATACACCAACCTTGCAGGTTGACTCGGACAAAGAGGAATTCTCAATCTGCTCCATACAACCCAGGGAAACCTTTCCTTCTCTCAGTTCTTATGAAGTCTCAGAAACAGAGCCCTCAGAGACTGATGGAACACTGAATACCACAGACCAATGCGGGAGATCAGGCACATCTCTTGTAGCCACTGCGAAGGAATTCATTGAGCTACAGCCTATCCAGCAGCCTTAAACACTGGCCCCAAAAGTCTTGTGAGCAGGACAGAGAGCAACATACCAAGATTTATCCAGCGGCTACAGTTGGGGTCTCCTTGAGAGCCAGGAGTCCCAGAAATGCCTTCATCACCACCTGCAAACAGGGTATATAAGACAATCTTCTTGAGCTTCCATGTGGCTGGAAACAGCACAGGTCTCTGGCTTCTTCAACCCAGGCGCCTTTTTCAACCCAGGCGCCTTTCCTTTCCTTGTTTATTTTTACTATTATCAGCAGTCCGATTTACAATAGCTCGAAACTGGAAATAACCTATAGATTCCATTTGGACTCTGGGTAAATAACATTTTGAATGTGGCTCTATCAGAACTCCTTACTTAGCCATAGTTGGGTAATTAAAGGCACTTCAAAAACAGACACTTTTGGCAAGACCTGGCTTCCATTCTTATCCTTTATAAAATGAGACAGAATATACTTTTATTCCATCCACAACATAAGAATCTCTGTGGAGAGGCTACTTGATTTGACAATACATAAATAAATGTATTGCTTGTGTACTGTATATGAAACTTAATAAGACTGCATCACTGAACAAGTTACTGTAGTTTATGTTCCTCTTGTATTTACATTAAAACTAAGAACACTTATTTGTATGAAAGAAAACAAAAACAGGCCAGTGACCCAAACCTCCTGATCAAAAGACCTTAGAAACTGATTATGGCACAAGGGGAGGCAGGGCCATGTTTACCATATGCGGTGCCGGGGTGCAAATATCCACCCAGCCCCCTGAAATTACCATGGTTAGTGTTGGGGTGGCCGTAGCTGTGCACTGCCAGCCATCAGGGGGGTGCAACTCTCCCCCATGCCGCTGCGGGACAGAGATCCTTTGAGAGGCTGTTGTATAAGACAGAGAGGAACACCCTGAGCTCACACACTCCTTCTCTTCCTCCACTGATCCTTCCTGGTTTATAAGGGGAGGAACACAGAGCAGTGAAAGGAGGAGTCAGAAACAAAGGAGGGAAAACGCAGTCTTGCTTGGATGAGATGGGGAGGAAAAGCGAGCACAGACAGCCTTGCTGGTTTGAAGAGGAGGATCAGTCTGCTCTCTTTTCTTATTGAGATTGGACTCCCTCTATGTAGACTGAAGGTGTAAATGGGTGAATAAACCATCTTTCTTAAAGCTACAGCAGTCTCTGCCGTGTCTTCCATTCTCCAAAGGAACACAGACACTGTGTGGTGCTTGGGATCCCATGGGCTCTTGCCTCCGCTGGGCAGAGAGAGGGGCAGACACCCGACTTTTGCAACAATACATTGGACTGGAGTGCAAGGTTATTTCCCTCTTCTTCCTGGCAAAACATCCACAAAAGGGATTTAATTTTTGGGAAGGAGACATATTTCCCTACCAGGGAGACTAAAAAGGAGTGAGGCAAATATTTAACAACAGCAGAGTGACGGCGCTTGTCTGGTGTCAATAAGCAGGGAGTTCCAAAGAGTAGGTGCTGCCAACCTCACCCCTCATCAGACTGTGGGATGAGGTGGAGAGTTTTTGAGAAGCTTGAACGTGTATTTTGTCTTAAGGCAGAGAAGTTCTCCAGGTGTCATGTTTCAAAAGGAGAGAGAGAGAGAGTCACAAGTTCAACAAGTGGGGCAGGATCCCAGCTTCAGCACCACCCATATCCACCCCAGAGTGGCTTGCTCTCCTCTGAACTTCTCAAAATAAGCTGGGCTAGAGACCCTGGAGGCACATTTACCCACAGAGATCCTTCCTGGAGTTCACAGGGTCCCATCTCTCCTCTCCTACATTTTAGCAAAGCAATTTTAGTTAATTTAACACATTTTGTTTTATTTTCACTAATGTTTGTATTGCTTTGCACACATTATGATTAATGCATACAATACATTCATGCTCTGATGTGCACATATTTTCCTAGTACATGCATGTTTGTACATATTAATCGCTGGTGAACAGCAAAGCAAAATTCAGACAAGTGTGGATTTCATCTGTCATGGATTCCTGCATTGGAGGGGGTTGGACTAGATGACCCTTGGGAGCCATTCAAAATCCGCAATCCTATGAAACCTGAAACTGTCCTTAACCTGAAGCACCACTTTAGCTAATGGGGCCTCCTGCTGCCGCTGCGCCGCTGAAGCACAATTTCTGTTCTCATCCTGAAGAAAAGTTCTTAACCTGAAGCACTATTTCTGGGTTAGCAGAGTCTGTAACCGGAAGCATATGTAACCTGTAGCGTATGTAACCCAAGGTACCACTGTACACAGAAAAGGTAATGCCTCAAGTCGTCATAGTGTAAAATAAAAGAACTGCAACTTGTGTTGAATTTCTGTGTGGGCACCTGGTGCACATTTCCTGTTTTTAGCTCATAGCTTTCTCAGCCTGGATGGCTGTGGACAAGCTTGTCAGTTACTTCGCACTATTTCCCATTTAGAGGGAGCTTTGGGGCTGTGCAGTACAGCATTTCTTATGCCTGAGAATAAAAGCAGGAGCCACCTGATCCTTCTCTCCTTTGGCCCATGGATCTTCTCTTCCCTGGGTAAGTCCCTGGGTAGGAAAAGCTGAATGTATAGGGCAGGCATCCCCAAACTCGGCCCTCCAGATGTTTTGGGACTACAACTCCCACCACCCCTAGCTGACAGGACCACTGGTCAGGGATGATGGGAGTTGTAGTCCCAAAACATCTGGAGGGCTGAGTTTGGGGATGCCTGGCATAGGGGGACAATCTGTAGGTTTGCTTGGTCATGAAGGGGAAAGAAACTGACAATGCTGAGCTCATCTAAAGAATAGGCCCCCTCCCTGAAAATCCCCCCCCCCATCTCAGGGTCAATGTGCTTTGGGACATGCTGGGGGCTCACATTCCACTGGCAAGAGCCCCCACCCCACCAGACCTTCTCCTCTTTCCACCACTGCTTTCTCATTCTGGCCCAAACAATCATGGTGGCTGTTACAGATAGGTAGCTGTGTTGGTCTGCCATAGTCAAAATAAAAAAATTCCTTCCAGTAGCACCTTAAAGACCAACTAAGTTAGTTCTTGGTATGAGCTTTCGTGTGCATGCACACATCTGAAGAAGTGTGCATGCACACGAAAGCTCATACCAAGAACTAACTTAGTTGGTCTTTAAGGTGCTACTGGAAGAAATTTTTTTATTTAATCATGGTGGCAGTTCATGGACCCAAGGGGTGGGGGCGCTGGCCAGATGAGGCTGGGGACATGGAGGAAAAGCCCCAGAGGGATCGGCTAGCCTGAGACAGATCCTGGAGAGCTCAATGAGCCTGCCAGAGGGAGGATCCTAGAAAGGCTTGGAGAAGGATATGGGAAATAGCTGTATGCCATCTTCCCCTCCCCTCTGAACTGTATTTAAGCCAGTTATTGTCAGTTAACTCTTGTGTTGCTTTGTATTTATGTACTTAAGCCTGGATTTTTTTGGGGGGGGGGTATTTACTGTCATATTCCATATTTCATACATTTCTACTTCCAATGCTCTGTCTTTTGATGTTTTGAATGTTTGCTGTGAGCCAGCTTGGGCAGAGCCCATTGTGGAAGGGACGCATATAGATAAACTCAATCAATCCCAGTCAAGAGGGAAGTATCTGAGACAGGTGATCTTGTTTACTAGCATCCAGTTCCTAGTGAGGGTGGGGCAATGCCAGAGTGATCTTTGTTATTTGAGTTCAGTTCATAGAATCATCTGCGCATGAGACGCAAGCGGAAGATAGAGAGCCCAACTGTAGGTGTATGTGCCAGAGCCAATGATACATAGAGCCAGTGCTTTTTTTTATTCTGGGGGGACGCAAGGGGATGCATACTACTAAACATTTTGTGAAGCTTTGTATTGTTGTCCATTTACTGTATTTATTTTTCCTGATTTGAACTATAAAATGGTGATTATTTTGAGGCAAAATGAGAGTACCCCTAAACATTTTTAAGAAAAATGTATAGAACTAGAATAATTCTAGTTCTCTCACTGCCTGCCCTACTGAGAGCTGCAAGAGGAACACAGATACTAAGGAGGAAGTGTCAAGTGGGAGGCCAGTAGAAAGTAAGAAAGGAAAACAGGTGGGGAATGGTTAAGGACAGGTGGACGCTGTCCTAAGGGAGGGAACAGTCTCCACTCCTGGGATGTGTTTCTGCACATTTGCAATTGTTTCTCTTCCTTGCAAGGGTTTAGCTTCAGGACTCCAAGAGGTTGGTGGTCTGCAGATGGGGGTGAGAATCAAACACCTTTTCTTAACAGAAACCTTTAACAAGCACACAGGCAGGTGTATGACACACAAAGAAGCACCCTGAGCTCACACACTCCTCCTCCCCCCCCCCCCCGATTCTTGCTTGGAACTACCTTTGTACTTGTAACATTGTCCTTCTCTAATAATTCCTGGCTTATTAGGGGAGGAACAAAGAAAGTGAGCACAGACAGCCTTGCTGTTATAAAGAGGAGGATCTGATCTGCTGGGAAGTGAGAAGACGGAAGGGACGACCATTGTATTCGAACGTTCACGACTCTTGCGAATAAGACCCTGTACTCAGGCTACGCTTATAAGATGGATGAACAGGCTTATTTTGGAGCAACTATCCTGTGCAGACAAATGAAGCTGTCCTTCTCAGGGTGGTGAAACAGATGCCTCAATGCCCATAAGCAGGACCTGAGCTCAACAGGCACAAGTCTCCCCGTTGCTGAGTCCCAGAAAGGGGCATTCTGGTGCCTCACTGTTGCTCATGGCTCTCTGCCCCTCTGGAGAGATACGATGGTGGATTTTTCTCACAGAAGACCTCTTCTTCAGACTATTGCTGTTCTCTTTCTTGGGTAAGGACTTCACTGCTTTCTCTCTCTCACTCACTCAGAAACCACAAGTAACCCACCTATATGCATTGTTATGAAGAGATAAATTTTTGGCAATATTAGTTACTAGCACTCAGGGTCTCCTCTCCCCAGTTGGAACCCTCTCCCAGAACATGCTTGCTGCCTTCAAAGGGAGCTCCAATAGAAGGCTTGTGAAAGTTTAATCCTTTTTTGTGATATTTGTTGCTGAACTGAACTAGGAGGGACAATGTGCATGTATGATGCAGGTGCTCATCACCCCTGAAGGTGTGGGGTTCAATGGGATAAAAATGCTGGACATGGTGACTGCAAGTTGAGCTGCAATCTGCGCCTCCATGGAAAGGGAGGTGTCGAAGATTACACCCAAACTCTTAACGGACGGTGCTGGCACTAATTGCACCCCCGCAAGAGATGGGAGTTGCCCCCTCAATCCCATATCATCCCGTCCCAGTCACAGGACCTCTGTCTTCGAAGGATTTAACTTCAACCGGCTCCCACGTAACCATCCAGCCACAGCTTCCAGACATCTGGTCATTCTCTCTCTATGAAAGCAGAGAGCAACTGAACAAAGGAACAAAGGAAACAGAAAAACACTAACGTCACATCCTGTCTCCAGTCTTCCGTGAGACTTCCAATAGCCTGGACAGTCTCTGGAATGTAAGCAGAGCCTTGTGACTTTAAGCAGCTGCTCAGTGGCAAACAGAAACTAACATCTGTTTCCCTGTTCAGGGAAGTTTTAATATGTGACATTTTAGTGTATCTTTCATCTTTGTTGGAAGCTGCCCAGAGTGGCTGGGGAAACCCAGCCAGATGGGCGGGGTACAAATAATAAATTATTATTATTTGGCCCTTAACATGAGGGATTTGAGGAGATGTGTTTGTATTAATAAATGCTGCTCTTCACATTCTTGTGAGCAGTATCGGAGCATACAGAGAGCTCATTGAAGACTGATCTGATCCTGTGAACTGCTGCTACTGCCCCCATCTTCTCCTTTTCCTAAGAAATGGATTCAGAGCACTGTGTCTGACAGGCATTCACAGCCCAAATCATTGCAATACAAAGGGGAAAGATTAGCAACACTTGCTTATGTCTTTTTATTTATTCCACTGCTCTCAGCCAGTTGTGAGCATGAGAATGTGAATCTCAGGGTCATGGGTTCGCCCCACTTTGGGCCAAAGATTCCTAAAATGCAGGGGGATGGACTAGATGACCCTAGTTTTCCCTTCCAGCTCTACAATTCTTTGATTCTATGAGAGTCACTCTGGCAATTGTTATTAAAGTATGTTGTGAGAAACAATTGTTCATTGCAGGTGGACAGTTTGGACCCTCGAGTTGGATTCCATTGCTTATCACTGCCCTCATAGTTCCTCTGGTGATAATGGTGAAGGTGATTTGGATGCACTGGAAGATCATATTCAAAAGGCCTAGAAGAGGTAGGACCATCTCTATTGATCTTCTTCCCATCTCTCCTGAGATGGGGGCTTCCTGCCAAATATACCTCAACCTTTCTTTTGCTTATCCTGAGAGGCAGAGACCGGTCAGTGCCATGAACTAAATAATGTGTCTCATGTTGTATTCCACAGGTGTTCCCTCTGTGATGCAAGAGAAAGGGGAGAGTATCCAGAGCTCAGAAGCCACCCAGAAGATGGTGATAATGAGGTGCGATGATTAGTGTGCAAAGTAATGATGGGGTGATTGTTTTTACCTACCAATTAAATCATCTGATACATTTGGGAGGCATTTATTACTTTAGTTATTATTATTATTAATGTTGCAATTTGTTATTCCTAAATAAACAACAGCAAGAGAAAAACAAGTGGATTTCAAACAGGCCACTAACCTGATAATAATAATGAATGGCAATCAATTTGGCACAACCTGTCCCTACGAACCATCTCTGCTTGTCTGCAGGAGGCTTCTCTTAAAATTGTCTATCGGTGGCACTGGACTCCATCCCATCCAGTCAAAATAAACTCTGGCATCTCTCCGTTATGCTGGAAAGGCTCATATTTCCATGTATGGTGGAGCTCCATGTTGTAATACTCCAACTGGGAAAAGGTGTTTCACACTGTTTCCAAAATTACGTACCAATCCCTTCCACCCAAATCAGCTCTTGCCTTGTTATGATTAGACTCAAATCTAAACAATAACCTTAAATGCAGTGACTTTGTATTTTTACTATTATCAGCAGCCTGATTTACAATAGCCTGATACAGGAAACACCCTATAGAGATTCCCCACTGAAATCTGGGTAAATAACATTTGGAATGTGGCTCTATCAGAACTCCTTACTTGCCATAGATGGCTAATTAGAGAACTTCAAAGACAGACACTATTGGTGAGACTTGGCTTCTGTTCTTTTCCTTTATGAAATGAGACAGAGTATATAGTTTTATTCCACCCACAACCTAAGAATTTCTGTGGAGAAACTGCATAAATAAATGTATTGCTTGTGTGCTGTGTGCTGCATATGACACTGGATAAGTTACTGTAGTTATAGGTTGTTCTTGTATTTTCTGTCAGGTTTATTACATCTCTCCCACACAAGACACAGCACACTGGCAGCTTTATTACTTTATGATTTATTAAGCAACTACAGGGTCACAGCAGTCTGGGCTCTCTTAGTTCAGCCTTCACTGCTCTAGCCAGTTGCCAAGACTAGATTCCTTTTCTGGCCAAAGCAGGATATTCACCACTTCCTTCTGGGTTTACGTTGCTCCAATAGCCGGCTCCTCCTTCTGCTCTTAGGATACTCTGGTGCAGCTAGCTGCTCCTCATCTGGAGTAGAGTCTAAACCCGGTCGTTCTCCTTCAGACTGCTCTGTCAGCTCTGTATTGCTTTGAGAACTGACAGGCAGCACAGAGCTGTCTTTGCCATTGGTTCTAGTTACAGGTTTGTAGCCGTGTTGGTCTGCCTTGGTCGAAACAAAATAAAAAATATACCTCTTGTCAGGTGTGGTGTGGTTGCTCGAGAGTAAACAGGCAAGACTCCGACCTGTCTTTTCCAGGCTTTATTCTTGGTGCAAACTATTTACAGTGAAGAGCGTTGTAAGTTCATGTCTGGCTCAGTCGCTAGCAGAATCTGGAAGTGGTGGTCTTTGTACCTTCCCCAGCATAAAAGTCACATCACCCCCAACCTTTACCGCCCCTCCCTGCGCCGAAGCCTACTGCGCAGAATGGGTGCTGGCAGGGGCGTACTTCCTGCCTCTCCGGTTTGCTCAGGCTCTCCCAAGCAATCCCTGGTCCCTGCCCCTCTTCTCAACTGGAGGTGGGGCTTTCCTCCTCGCCGCAAGAGGAACTGCTTCGCAAGATTTTCAGAGGCTCCCTATAACACAACTGCCCTTCCATCTCTCTCCTCTGAGCTGACGGCAGTTCCCTGACACCTCTCAGTATACAGGATATAAGGGTCTGGTGACTTCTGTTTCAGTGTATCTGGAGACGTGTGCATGCACACGAGAGCTCATACCAAGAACAAACTTAGTTGGTCTCTAAGGTGCTACTGGAAGGATTTTTTTATTTATTTTGCCACTGGTGTTAGTGGTTCACTGCGCCAGGGCACTGGCCTCTCTGGGGCGCTGTAGTGAGTGGGGGAGCTGTGCGGCGTTGCCTGAATCCTCTCCTTTCCCTGCACGCCCGCCAGCTGCACCCCGCCAATTATATGGCTGGCAAGCGTGCAGCTTCACTCCCAAGCCTCTGCATCTGCTAAAGACGGCCCTGATCCTGGTCGTCATCCTCCTCTTGCTTCCTGGTGAAAGGCAGTGTGCAGGGAAGATGCCTGCTTTTAGGCCAATTGGTATCCCTCCTTGGAGACCGCTGGACTTGGACAGGACTTTAATTTTCTCCAGCGTTTGGGTGGGCCCAAAAGCCCAGAAATTGTCTGAGGAGTTTCATCCCCAGAGTTCCTCCTCTCATATTTTCTCTCCAATGCAGATTGAACACTGAATCCCACAGACCGACCCTGCAGGTTGACTTGGAGAAAGAGGAATTCTCAAGCTGTTCCACACTATCCAGAAAATGCTTTCCTTCTCTCACTTCTTGTACAGTCTCAGAAACAGATCCCTCAGAGACTGAACATTGCATGAGAGATCAGGCACATCTCCAGGAGCCACTGCTGAGGAATTCATTGAGGGTCCCTCTGTTGAAAGACCCATTGAAGATCTCTCAATGCTGCCAGTTGAGCCGGAGATCCAGCCGATCCAGCAGCCTTCAACACTTGTCCCCAAAGTCCTGTGACCAGGACAGAGAGCAACGTACCAAAACTTATCCAGTGACTATGGAAGGGGTCTCCTTGAGCACAAGGAGTCCCAGAAATGCCTTCATCATCAGCCGCAAACAGAGTATATAAGACAATCCTCTTGAGCTTTCCTGTTGCTGGAAACAGCACAGGTTTCTGGCTTCTTCAACCCAGGTGCCTTTCCTTTCCTTGACTCTCTTTTCCTATTGAGCTTGGACTCCCTCCATGAAGTCTGAAAGTGTAAATGGGTGAATAAACTGACGCACAGGGTAAATTAATAATGCAGAGTTTTAAAGAATAAGAGCTTTACTGAGTTAAAATAAACTTCTCCATAAACAACATGGTTCCAAACAGTTTGACTGAGATTCCATACTGACTCTGCTCACAACTGAGGCAGACTGACTCTGACTGAAATCTTACAGAGAGCACAAAAGAGAAACCCGAACCCCACAACCCCTCAAAATAAGCTGGGCTACAGTCCCTGGAGGCACATTTGCCTACAGAGATCTTCCCTGGTGTCCATGGGGTCCCATCTCACCCCCTTTCATTTTAGCAAAGGAATTTTGCTTAATTTAAGTCATTTTGTGCTATTTTAATCTGGGCAATTGCAATGCTTTTTGTTGTTGTTAAATTTGTTACAACCACAACAGTCTGCAAAAGCTGCCAGTGTTTTTCATTGCTTGGTCTGTGCCCAGATCTGTCAGAAGACTTTTCTTATTAGCCAATCTTTACAAACAGCAATTCTCCTCCTCCCCCACATTCCACACCCAGAAACACACTTCCGCAGAGAAGCAAACATGAGCTTTTTGTGCAGTCGTTTCCTGTTGAGAATGTTGCTGTACTTTGCCCTGGGTAAGTCGCGCACTGCTTTGTCCTGAAGAGCAGTAAGATCTCCGCCAGCAGCTGGTGTTTCCAGAGGCTGGGAAAGAGACTGACTATCTTTGTCCTCCCTGACATTTGCCTCTTTCAGTTGCCAGACTCCTCTGGAGAAGGATATGGGAGCCAGCTGTATGCCATCTCCTCCTCCTCTTTGAACTGTATTTAAGTCAGGCTGCTTGGAGTGTAGCAATACCAGTGCCAGAAACTTCATTGTCAGTTAACTCTTGTGTTGCTTTGTATCCATGTACTTAAGCCTCCATTTTTTTTGTGGGGTGGGGGCAGTAATATTGATTTTATTCTGTGTTTGCCAAATTGTTTATTTCTGTCATTTTAAAAAAAATTGCTGTCATATTCTGTATTTTGTACATTTGTATTTCCAGTGTTCTGTTGTTGTTTTTATGATTTGAATGTTTGCTGTGAGCCTCTTTGGGCACAGCTCATTGAGGAACAGATGCATATAAATAAACTCAATCAATACCAATCAAGAGGACAGTAACTGAAACAGCTGATCTTGGTTACCAGCACCCAGTTCCTGGAGAGGGTGGGGCAATGACAGAAATCTTTGTTACTGAGCTCAGTTTGTAGGACAATCCGCCTGACTGAAAGGTACAAGAGTAAAAGGTACTAAGGAGGAGGCAGTGCCAGGGCTCGTTGAAAGTGAAAAAGAAGACAGGTGGGGACTGGCTAAGGTATGGTTACCAGACGTCCCCATTTCCCAGAAACAGCCCCCTGATTTACAAATCTTTCCCCGGACAAAATCTGTCCCCGGAATGTCCCCGGATTTCATTTAATGTCCCTGGATTTATATTTTAATTGTTGTAGATTTATTCGTAGGGAATGAATGTTGCGTGATTGATTCAATGGCACAAGACAAAGCATATGGGGACTTCTGGCAAGGCAAAATGGTGGGCGCCACAGCAGCGAGGAGCTCCTGAAGCCAGCCAGAGCCAACTGCGCTACCAGGCTGGCTCTGGGCTGCTGAGACTGCAACCACCACTGCCGAGGGGAAATCGGGGATCCCCGGTGCATCAACTGGGAGAACAACTGACATGCACACACCCCCTACACCCCAAATTGAGCCAGAAAGAGTGCCTGGCCACGTAGCCAACTACCCAGTGGTGCTCTGGGGCCAGGAAAAACCCAGAGCCGATGCAGGGAGAAGGAGGAGAGTAGAAGAAGGAAGAGAGAGGAAGAGGAAGGAGGAAAAAAAGAGGGGAGCCCTGACCTTGCTGCACCGCTACTGCCGCCGCCACTAGGGAGGAGAGGTAGGAGAGCCCTGGGAGGGCAAGGACACGTGGCTGAGCCCAGGTCTGACCTGAGCCTACTCCATGGCGGCTAGCACTCCAAGAGAGCAGGCCAGGGTCCAGAGGAACGCCGCACGACAGAGGAGACCACAGTAGAGAAGGCATTACTTTAAAAAAACAACAAAACTTTTTTAATCACTTTTTTTCTCTTTTCAAGAAAAAAAAGTTTCCCTAGATTCTTACAAAAAAAACAACTGGTAACTTTAGGCTAAGGACGGGCTAAACCTGGCAAAGGCAGTGCCCCACTCATCCTTAGGGAACAGTCTCTACTGCTGCTGTTGTAGTTGCTGCTGCACATTTGCAACTGTTTCTCTTCTTTGCAAGGGTTTTGCAAGACTCTGAAAGATTGGTGGTCTCCAGATGTGGGTGAGAATCAAACACCTGTTCTAAACAGAAACCTTTAACAGGCACACAGGCAGGTGTTTAACAACAAAGAAGCTCTCACCCTGACCTCACCCTCTTTCTCCTCCTCCGCTGATCCTTCCTGGTTTATAAGGGGAGGACGAAAGAGCAGGGAAAGGAGGAGTCAGAAAAAAGGAGAGGAAACACAGTTTTGCCTGGATGAGACGGGGAGGGAGAGCGAGCACAGACAGCCTTCCTGGTTTGAAGAGGAGGATCTGATCTGCTGGGAAGCGAGAGGAAGGCAGGAGCCGTCCGTTGTGACACTTGCTGATAAGACTTTGTAGTAGGGCAATGCTTATAAGATGGATGAACAGGCTTATTTTAGAGCACATATCCTGTGCAGAAAAATGAAGTTGTTCTCCTCATGGTGGTGAAACAGATGCCACAATGGGACGTGCACAGACAGGACCTGAGCTCAACAGCAGCAAGTCTCCCCATTGGTGAGTCCCAGAAACAGCCAGTCTGGTGCATGACTGCTGCTCATGGCTCTCTGCACCTCTGGAGAGATACGATGGTGGACTTTTCTCGCAGAAGACCTCTTCTTCAGTCAGACTATTGCTGTACTCTTCCTTGGGTAAGGACTTCACTCCTTTCTCTCTCAAAAAACAAAAAAATAAAGAAACCCCACCTAAATGCATGGAGGGGCACTGTGAGTTTGATTTGTCATGAAGGGGGAAAATTACTGGCAATATTGGTTACTAGCACTCAGGGTCTCCTCTCCCCAGCTGGAACCTCCCCTTGGCTTCAAAGGAAGCTCCAAGAGAACGCTTTTGAGAGTTTAATCGTGTGTGTATTATTTGTTACTGAGCTGAACTTGGGGGAGGGGGGACAATCTGTGTGTATGATGAAGGTGTGCAGTGGAGCGAAATAAAAGCACAGGATATAATGACTGCAAGTCGACCTCGTCTCTAGGGCAGAAATGTTTTCCTGCAGGATTTTGTCAGTCATTAACTAATGCAAAATAAATGTCAGTTAAGAGCAAGCAGTGAATTAGAGGAGCCAACCAATGAGCAGGAAAAGGTGACTGGGGATCTTGGTGGAACAGAGTCAGTTGCTTCTCAGAACTCTGTATAAACTTATCTCGGTTTCACGAAAAATTGTGCATAATCATTTTTTCCTGAAACACACATGCATGATGGTTTTTAGATTGCTGCTTAGCATAATTTTTCACTGGGTTAGAGCTTTCTGTGTTGAGTTTTCAACAGACATTTTGCACAGCTCTGATTTTGCTTTGAGACTTTCTTACAAACAGGCAGTATATAAATCTTGTTAACTGAAATAAATGAAGCTTTTGTTCCCTGTGTAGGGAAATTCTACTTCTTTCACAGAATATTTCCTTGTGACACAGAGCCAGATGTTCCCCAAAATATGACAAAGGGACAGCTTTGAAAAGATTTAAGTGTTTAATTGATTGCTTTATTTACAGATGAAGTTCAGACCTCACATTATTTTATTTTAATCACCTGGACCAATCTTTTCTCTGGGTTTTTCTGGATCCCAGATAGGTGCCTATCATAGGAGAACAAAGATTTTTGGAATTAAAATATGGACTTGTAACAATGTCCGTCTCTTACAGTAAAGGGCCACATTGTTTGGACAGCTAGGAGAATGCAGTAAATGTTTAACTAGTGAGTTGGGCATTTCCAGTGGGGCAATGTACAATTCAGCAACAGTTAAAATTCATATTGGATATTGTAAACTTTCTTTTATTTAGGTCCCAAATACCTGAGAGACTAGTTTCACCTTCCTCAAACATTTGGGGGGGAGTCAGCCCAGGAGAGGACCTTCTTTGTGGCAGGCTGCTAAACTGCAGGTGTCCCTCCCCACAGAGATGCTCTGTGACACCTGCAATATAATTTTTGGACCCTTCCTATTACATTTTAATGCTGCATTTTAAATTGTTGTCACCACCTCTGGGACCTCATGATGGAAGATGGATAAGGAGCTCAAAACGATAATGATACTAATTTCCCCCTTTGTTTGTATCTCCTCCCCACCACCCACCCCTCACTAGACACTTTAAGCCATGCAATGGGGAATCCAACCCATCAGGTGAAGGGAATCCTGGGAGGATCAGTCTTGTTTCCTGTCAATATATCTCAAGGAATAACAGTGGAGAAAATGGAATGGGACTTTCTACCCCAAAGGGGTGGCCTGGGCTTTTGGCTGGGGGAATTCAGTCATGGGAAACTGGAGCAACAAAGTCCCTCCGACCGGTTTGGACAACGGCTAGACATGGTGGATGAGACAACACTGAGGATCAAAGACCTGGAGTTGGATGATGGTGGGATCTACAATGCTCGCATCTGGCTTACTAAGTCACAGTTTCAAGAACAGAGTTTCAGCCTCACAGTTTATGGTACGTTATTGCGCTTCAAGGCCCCCAGGACCCCAGCCCCTTCACACTGACACTTATTTTAGTTTTTGGGCAAATTTTGGCCACAACTTTATTCAATTCAACCATGTGAGCGGTATTGGCTTAGGCATTGTCTCCAAACTATAGCTGACTCCACCTTTCTGATTGGTGGTCTAAAAGGGTAAACCAAACGAGGGAGCAACATCGATGAAGAGCAACTGAAGCTCACCCCGGGGTTCCTGTGGTCCTGGCATGGCCCTAGTCCCCCAAGCAGACTTTGGACAAGATCCAAATACCCTGTTCCTGGAGGGGCAGGTGATGGCCGCACCTCCCCTCCCCCACATTTCAATGAGCCAATGCCTAACCACTGCCTTACAAGTTGTGATGATTGCTGAGGAGGTAGGCAAAAACCAATTGGCTATAGCCAATCTGCCAAATGGAAAAATTGCTACCCAGCCCCTGTTCCAAAACAGGCGACCCAAACCATAGCAAGGTCAAAGCGACACTGCCTAACACAAGGGAGGGAGGGAGGGTGTTCGGCAACGCGAAGCAAGTGCCTCCAATAACGTTGCGCTGTCGTTCTTAACAGCCGCTGGGATCACGCCACCCCCAGGCAATTGGCCCAGACAGCCTCGGGTGACCCCAGTGCTATGGTTAGGGCTTGGGTTACACCCCTACAACTAAATTAACCCTTGGTGTGCCTTGAGTGCCCGTGCACAACCAGGACCCTCAATTGGGGGGGGGTGTCCCATTTGCTTTCACAGTTTGGCTCATGAAATGGGATCAGCACCATTTCCCAACAACAACAACAACAGCAACAATTTATTTATACCCCGCCCATCTGGCTAGGTTTCCCCAGCCACTCTGGGCAGCTTCCAACAAAGATCAAAAATACATTAAAATGTCACACATTAAAAACTTCCCTGAACAGGGCTGCCTTCAGATGTCTTCTAAAAGTCTAGTAGTAGTTGCTTTTCTCTTTGACATCTGATGGGAGGGCGTTCCACAGGGCGGGTGCCACTACTGAGAAGGCCCTCTGCCTGGTTCCCTGTAACATGGCTTCTCACAGCGAGGGAACCGCCAGAAGCTGGACCTCAGTGTCTGGGCAGAATGATGGGGGTGGAGATGCTCCTTCAGGTATACTGGCCTGGGGGGGTTTAGGGCTTTCAAGATCAGCACCAACACTTCGAATTGTGCTCAGAAACATCCTGGGAGCCAATGCAGATCTCTCAGGACCGGTGTTATATGGTCTCGGCGGCCACTACCAGTCACCAGTCTAGCTACTGCATTCTGGATTAGTTTTAGTTTCCGGGTTACCTTCAAAGGTACTGGTAGAGGTGGGACATAACCCTTATGCTGATTTCATTTGCGTTTCACAGAGCCAGTGCCAACACCACAGATACACTTTCAGGAAGTCTCCCAGACTTCAGAGGGATGCAATGTGACCCTGCAGTGCCAGGCACCTAGAAAGGAAGAGTTCAGTATCTCATGGAAAAGAGGGAATCCCCCAAGGGCATTAGGAAACAGCCTGTACGAGTATCAGCTTTCTGACAGTGGAAGGAATCTCTGTGTCTTCTGGCGAAAAGACTCTTCGGACTCGGCGTTCACCTGCCTGCTTACTAATTCTGTTGACCAAAAGAATGCCTCCTTTGACTTGCTCAAAATTTGCCCAGGTAATGACAGTGAGCAAGTGTGACCTAGTCAGTGTATGGAGGAATAGCTGCTTTTAAGTGGGATAGTTCAGCTGGTAGAGCATGAGGCTCTTAATCGCAGGGTTGTAGCTTTGAGCCCCATGTTGGGCCAAAGCTTCCTGCATTGCAGGGGGTTGGACTAAATGACCCTTGTAGTCCCCTCCAACTCTCCAATTCTGTGATTTGTAGAAATGGTTGAATTGCTTTTGGCTTCCTGGGTATGTGATCTTCTGAATTTCTGTGTTTTACCTTATTTTATCATGAACGAATTGGGCAATTGTTGGTTGCAATACAGTTTGTAAATGAAAAATAAAAATAAAACGATAGGGGGAAATGAAATGCAAACCAAAGTGATGGACTTAAACTCTGTGCCAAAGTAATGCAATAAAGTCAATACAAATGGAACAGACTGGCACATTTGTTGACCCTTCCAAGTCATGCAGGAAGGTCACTTTGGTGGTTGTTATTAGAGAATATTTCAAGAGACTCTCTTTACACATTGCAGGTGTACAGGTCAGACGCCAGAGACATATCATTATCTCCACTGCAGTTGTCATGTTGCTGATCATGATGGTGGCGGCAGTGATGTGGATGTGGATGAGGAGGAAACGAAAATTCAAAAAGAAGGAAAGAGGTAGGGCCATCTCTTTCAATCTGTTTCCTGCCTCACCTGAGATGGAGGCTGCTTGTCAAATACACCTTTACTTTACTTTTGCTTATTTTGAGAGGCAGAAGTGGGTCCATGCCATGGAATAAATATGTCTCTTCAGATATTCACTCATTGATACTAGAGGACTTGGAGAGCTCTTCTGCACACCGGAACTCAGCAAGAAATCCACAACAAGATGGTGATAATCAGGTGAGATGAGCTCGTGAAGTGGTGAAGGGATGGTGGTTCAATCTAATAATTATACACACAAAACAGATTACCAGCAGGCAAGAAGACTAAGCCACAGCTACCGCTCTCCATTACCCAACTCACTGATCAACAGGTTGGTTGGTTGATTGATTGATTGATTTAAATTTATATCCTGCCCATCTGGCTGGGTTTCCTCAGCCACTCTGGGTGACTTACAACATATACAAAAACCCAACAAAACATCAAATATGGGGGGGGGGAATCCTATACAAGCAACCAACAAACCAATAAATCAATAGAAACCAACAACAACAACAATAATAACCAACAGTTTGCAGTTACAGTGGTACCTCGGGCTACAGATGCTTCAGGTTACATACGCTTCAGGTTACAGACTCCACTAACCCAGAAATAGTACCTCGGGTTAAGAACTTTGCTTCAGGATGAGAACAGAAATCACATGGCGGCGGCAGCGGGAGGCCCCATTAGCTAAAGTGGTACCTCAGGTTAAGAATACTTTCAGGTTAAGAACGGACCTCCAGAATGAATTAAGTTCTTAACCCGAGGTACCACTGTATACCCAAATTAAAGTAACTGCCACCTCCAACTAAACATTTAACCAACACCAACCCAACAAAAATGAAACAGGGGAACCAAAATTAGAACCATTTAGAACATTTTAGAACATTTTAGCCAGTTGCCCCAATCCAAGAATTGTTCCAGCAATGTCCCAGTGGCCTCCCAGGAGCCTCTTTTAGCTGCTCATGGTGAGTCTGGACCCTATTCCCTAGGTCAGGGGGAAATAGGAAATTTATTATGGCATAAGGTAGGGGTAGGCACCCTAAGACCAAGGGGCCGGATCCGGCCCAATCGCCTTCTAAATCCGGCCTGCGGACGGTCCGGGAATCAGCATGAGTAGAATGTGTCCTTTTATTTAAAATGCAACTCTGGGTTATTTATAGGGCATAGGGATTCGTTCAGTTTTTTCTTCAAAATATAGTCCAGCCCCCCACAAGGTCTGAGGGATGGTGGACCGGCTGAAAAAGGTTGCTGACCCCTGGCATAAGGCATTATTATGGCATTTCACCTGTATTATGTCATAGGTTTTTGTGAACAAGAATCCAGTTCATACAATTCATGAAGGAGAGGGAAGCAGCCTCTGCAAAGAGCCAATTCCCATCAGGGGAACATGCATGCACAGTCAAACTGAGCAGGATTAAACCCTCCTCTCACCCTCTGGTGAGCAGAGCATTCAGTCCTTCGGGCTGCAGGATTCTGCTTCTTCACAGCGAAAGGTGCATATAGAACAGTCCCCAGCAGGATTGCATTCTCCACTCAGCAGCTACTCTGGATGCCTTCGAAAATGCTAATTGTATCATCAATTCCAACTGGAATATGAAACAAGAAGTGAGACATGGACCTTGACTTTAAAAATGTCACGGCCAGCAGAAGCAAACTGCCTCCTTTTGTCTGCTAAAAATGGACAACTACACCCCAACTTAGGGTGAGTGATCCAGGAACCTGTACAACCAAATGCTAACCCAAAATGAGTGGAAATATTGTCTAGAGAAGGTGTCTGTGATCTTTCTTAGGGCACCATTGGGCTTTGCCAGAACCCCATTCTTCCCCGGGTTTATTTAGGTGGGTACAAATCCTCAGTGACATTTTAAAGTAGCTGCATCTGAATCTCTCCTGTCATGTTCTATAGCTGGTTCTGGTTCTCTCTGCTCCTGCAGGTTTTCTGGGACAGAACGGAAGTTACAGCGAGTTCCCCACCACTCTGGAAATCCTGTCCTTCTGTCTGTTCTGACTCTGTATCAGACCCAGAATCTTCAGGGAATGAAGCCAAGGACCTGGAGGAGAAGGCACCCTTCTTGAAGATGGTGCTAGAGATCCCATTAAGAGACCATCAGGGGAGAGAACCACCAAAGACCCCTCCTGGCCATCAGTACTGGTGGTACCAAACGTACCCTAAAACTAAACAGTGCTGGCAACGGCGCCAGGATTCCATTGTTGAATTAACTGGACAAGGGTCAAAGTTGCCAACTAAGTATATTAAGGTCATTAGTATAACAAAGGAAGCTGCTTATGCCAGAGGGCAAATGTGTCGGCCCCCTCCCTCACTTGGCTGGCAGTGAAAAAGAGTTGAGTGTGTGTGAGCTGGGCTAAAAACAGGCGGGTGACAGAAGCCAGAGAGTGAAAGCATGCCTGATTTCTTTGTTTGTGTCTGTGTAATTTTTAGTTTTCAATTTTACAGTTTAAAACATCAATGACTTCCCTTCTTCTCTTTTCATGGTTCAATTTGCATACCATAAATCCCTGCACACAAGATGACCCGGATGGTCGCCAGTTTCTGTGTACAGATCTGTAGGCAGAGACCATCCCCTGACCCAAACTAGTTTGTTAAGAAAATCCCCAAACTTGGTTCCATGGGTGACTCTGGGTCATCTCCCTGCGGTAGCTTATCTTAAAGTTTTAAGTGTCTATATGCTTATCACATTTATAAATTTTAAATTTATTGTTGCACATTGTTTTAAATGTTTGTTTTCCTTCTGGGATTGTACCCCCGAGTGTGTTTTATAAGCTGGTCTCTGACCGTAATAAATTTTCTATATAATCACTGTATAATTTACAATACATAAACCAAACCATTCAGTATTCCATTAATACATCCATCCAAACTTATTTACACTGTTGAATTTACCGTAACGCTGCCGACGTTTTCAAGTGTACACAATTCCCGCCCCCCATATATTCAATAAGTATTTTCCAATCTTCTTTAAATGTATGTTCTTCTTGTTCTCTTATTCTAGTTGTTAGGTCTGCAAGCTGCGCATATTCCATCAGTTTAAGTTGCCATTCTTCTCTAGTTGGTATCTATCTCATTTTCCATTTTTGGGCTAACAAAACATAGGCAGCAGTAGTGGCAAACATAAATAGCCCTTTTTGATGTAGGGATCAGATGGGATTACCATGAGAAATTATAAAATATACATCAAGCCATCGTGTCCACGATGAAAGCATTGTGTTGACTGGGTTTGATATATTGACGATAGTTTCTGATTAAATCCCATGAGATTCTACATTCGTGCCCTTTTGATGCCCTTTGCCTCTACTTCCCATTTCTCTCTTGCTTCATAAGTCGCGTACACAGCCCAGTTGCTTCTTGCTTCGCCAGGCAGGCATCCTGGGCCATAAAGATAGTGGCCAAGTTTCTTTGAAGGCCTTTCTTATATATTTATCTTAGGATGTTAATCTTAGGGCCAGGAAACAGATTTCACATTAAGGTGATAATGGTCACTGCCCTCCTGGCCATCCTTCTTATCATGTGTATTGCTTGTTTATCACCTCCGGGTTTGCCAGATGCTCTTCTTTGTAGTTCTGTTCTTTGTTTACCCTGTGCTTAATTAGTTTTAGTAGTTTAATTTGTCCCCAAGTGGGTTTGTGGAATGCTCAGAAGAAATCTGATTGGTTCTTACGAACACTCTGTAAAAAGTTCTTTTGTGAATAAAAATGGCCTGGGCCAGGGGCTGTACATGGACAGGAACAGAGAGACACGATTATATGCACCCTTCCCAGAGTCTTGCTGGGAAGCCTCTGTGTGTATTCTTATTAATCAGAGTTCAATCCTTCCTTTACTTTGTGAATGCAACATTTTGACACCTGGGAATTTCCATCTGAACTATCCCCAACAAAAAGGACTCTGGTTTTGTTTTGGTTTTTTTGGAAAGGTACTTTTGAACATTTTTTCCAATTCATTATGGATCATTTCCCAATACTCTTTTACCCTTTTACAGGTCCACCACATATGAAAGAACGTTCCCTCAACCTCATTGCATCTCCAGTGCAGATAATCACTTATCAGATTCAGTCTTATACATCTTAGCAAGTCTGCTCGGAGCTAAATACCATCTGCAAATCATTTTCAAATAATTATTCTTCAAAGAATAACATGCTGAAAACTTCAGATCGTTCTTCCAAAGTTTTCCCCAAAGATTAAAATCTATGTTGTATCCTATATCTATTGCTCCATGTGTCATAGAAGCTTTGACAAGCTCATCTTTTGTTTCCCAATCTAATAACAGATTGTACATTTTAGATAAAAGTTCTTCTTTGTTTTGTATAAGTTATTTTTCGAATTGTGAGCTTTGGTCCAAAAAAACCCCCATTTCTTCTATGTCAAACATTTCATGTAACTGATGATATTGTAGCCAGTCCATAACATGGCTCCTTACACTTTCCATTGATTTCAGTTTAGGTTCCCCTCTGTAAAAATTAAGAGATTATGAAGAAATAAAAGATCATTTTCAGAGTTGGTTACACTATTGGCAACTACATGAGATTTATAAAGAAGACCAAAAGAAAGGATTTAGCTATACGACATTCAGATTTCAAAAGGAAGTTGTAGAAGGGAAAGTAAAGTTGCTGAAAGGTGCATATAGTATTCTGCTAGAATGGGAAACAAAAGATGAAGAGGTGAAATCAGTCATGATTAAATGGGCACAAGATAAAGGTCATAATATAATGTTTGAAGATTGGGAAAGATTGTGGAAAACTGATTTAAAATTTACAGATTGTTCTCTGTTGAAAGAAAATTATATGAAAATGATGTATAGATGGTATATAACACCAGTGCAGATAGGAAGAATGTATAAAACTGGTTCAAACATGTGTTGGAAATGTAAGGGAAAAGAAGGGACATTTTACCATATGTGGTGGGACTGTAGCAAAATTAGGAAATTTTGGGAAATGATATATGATGAGTTGAAGAAAATGTTCCAATTAACATTTGTTTAAAAACCTGAAGCATTTCTGTTAGGGATTGTAGGAAAAGACCTGCCAAGGAAATTCAAGAACATTTTCATGTATGCGACAACGGCAGCAAGAGTCTTAATAGCACAAGGATGGAAGAATGAGGAAATCCTGACTAAAGAACTGTGGCAAGAGAAACTGATGGGCTATGCGGAATTGGTAAAATTGACACACAAACTGTGTGACAAGGACAACTGTGACTTTAAAGAAGAATGGGAACCTTTTACAAAGTACTTAAAGAAACAACAAAATGAACTGGACTCCTTGGCAGGTTGTGAATAAACACTCACAAATTTATTATTAAGAACATATGGATAGATAAAATTAAGGTTCTTTACAATTTTATAATATGCAGAGAATTACATGTATTGAAAAACCAGAGAGAGGAGCTGAGGGAAGTTGCGGGAGGAGGGGAGGGGGGGGTTCTTTCTTGGGAGGGGGAGGGAAAAATAGGGGGGGGGACTAAGGGTGATATGCCTTTTGATAAAATGTTATGTTGAAATTTCTAATAAAAACTTTACAAAAACAGAAGACTGTGCAACCTGAAAAATGAGACAAGGTATGTACTTTTATAAACCAAGAGAATCTTGAATAAAAGTAAATTTTCAAAAAGAACTTAGGCGCCCAGGTTCTTGGGTGCTGATGATGGTTGCGTGTGTGCTCTGGCTGTTGAGGAGGCACTCTGGCTTGTCTCTCTTTGCTCTACCGTCTTCATTCCTCTTCATGTTCTTGGGAGAGGGGAGCTGGTCACAGCAGGAGAGGGAGACTCCCTGCCTTCTTCAGCAGCCTGCCTCATCTCTACCTCACGGCCCGTCTCCTCTCCAGCCTCTGATTCTGCCTCTGATTCTGGACTCCTCTCTGCCACCGCTTCTTCCTGCTCACTAAACCCTGTTACCTCTTCAGCTTCCTCCAAGTTTGCTGCCTCTTCTCCCTCTGACCACTCATTGTCATCCCTCCCAAAATCCTCCGGCTCTGAGCCTTCTTCCCTCGGGGGTTCCCCACCTGGGGCCTCCTCCAATAGCTCTGCAAACATCATGTCCATGACACCTGGCAGGTCCAGCTGTTGGGGAGAGGATACTGCAACTGCAAACAGGGAAATCTCCAGCTGAGGATGAGAGGGTGCTCTGGCTGATGATGGAGGGGCACTTCATTTGTTGGCAAGGGGGCACTCCATCTATTGAGGAGGGGGGTGCCCCTGCTCCTGACTGGGAAGCTCTGGCCATTGTGCCGGGTGAACTGTCAATGTTGCCTCAAAACAATCACTTGCACTGGTTCCAAGAGACATGCCTGCTCCTCCCCTTGGTCTGTTCATCTTCTGGGCTATATGTGTCTGCTCCTGGGTCAGAATGGATAGGAAGACAGGATTTCCAAAGCGGTATGGAACTCATGTGACATTCCTCACTTACGCAGGAAATCTGCAAGGGCAGAGAAAAATATAACCAGCTACAGAACATGACAGGAGACAATCAGATGCAACTCCTAAAAGGGTTTCTGAGCATTTGACCCCACCTAAACCCTGGCCATGAACTGAGCCCTGGCCAGGCTCAGCAGTGCCCTAAGAAAGGTCACAGGGCTCTTCCCTATCTCTCCATTCCAGTATTTAGGGTTAGTGTTTGGTTGTACAGGTTCCTGGATCATTCCCCATAGCTGAAGATGCCCATTTTTAACAGACAAAAGTGGTCTGTTTCCTTACTCCAGGAGTGACATTATTAAAGGTAAAGTCTGTGTTTCAGTTATTATATGAGTCCAGTTTGTATTAATGATAAAATTAGTAATTTAGTAAGAGTCCAGGATAGCTGGTGAGTGAAGGGTGCAATCCTGTTCAGTGTTGTTTCAAAAGCCCTTTCCCTGTGGGAAACCAGGCCCTCACAGCCAGGACGGTTGAACCAGGGTTCAGTCCTGCTCAGTTTGGCTGAGTGTGGATGTTTCCCTGATGGGAATAGGCACACACACCTAAGAACAATGTGAGGCTGCTTGGAAACACTCTTGCAACCAGACCTGGGCTGCTCTTTGCAGAGACTGGCTGTCTCTCCCTCGATTAGGGGATTGGTAAAGAGGAGGAGTAGTTATGGCTGAGTCCTGCTGCCTGAATTCTGTTTTGCATATTATTTTTAAAAATATTAAATTACAACTTTCAAAATATGTTTATGCATAATAAATACTTCCCAAACATACTGGTTGCTTCCATTGTCATTATCTAGTATAATCCCTGCTTTGCATGCTCATCTTACCTGAAAAGTTGTGGGAGCCTCTCTTCTGAGTTCTGGTGTGCAATAAAATTTTGCCCCTTCTCTGGAAGCCTACGGACAATTTCTGTGGAATGTAACATGAGAAACAATATTTATTCCATGACACTGACCTAATTCTGCTTCTCATGACAAACACAGTAAAGGTAGAGGCATATTGGTAGGGAGCCCCAATCCCAGGTGAGATGGGAAGAAGATTAATAGAGATGGTTCTACCTCCTTGATGCCTTTTTCTCCACTGGCATACTGCAAGCAGAATCACAATTCCCAACAAAAACAAAATTGCAAAGAGACCAGAAATAAGATGCAGGATCTTCTGGGTTCCAATATGTCCACCTGCAATGTGCAATAAGAGACTCTTGAAAATGCTTCAATAGCAACAAGCAAAGTGATTATCCTACATGAGAGAAGCAGAATGAATGAAATGCCAGGACAGACTTCCAAAACAAAAATACCTTCTGTTAGGATACAAGAAGCCGGTGAGATGAAGGGAGACATGAAAAGAGGTGTTGAAATGGGGGCAGGAAATGTGTTGCTCTCTAGATGTTGCTGGACTCCAGTTTCCATCAGCTCCAGCCAGCAGGCTCAATGAGCAGGGATTATGCTGCTGGGTAGAGTCTGGCAGCCTCTGCAAGTCACCACACTGGTTACTGGGTGATGTAGCCATAGGGGTGGATCCAGAATTACAGCACAATCCTGTATGCAGTCAGACATTGCTGCAGCCTTCACTTTTGCCTGCTCCAAATGTGATTTATTTACCTTGGGGTAGGAGGAGGAGGAAGCAGCAGAAGCAGCAATTCAGATGGGTCAGGGCAATCTTCAAGCAGGACTGGATTTGCTCTAACACTGGTCAACAAGCATGTGAGGAGGGGTGCTTGCATATATGAATGTCTCTCCTTGAATCCCCATAGGGTGTAAGCAATATCAAGACCCCAAACAGCAACTCTGGATAAAGATACATTGCTCACCTCCAATACCTGAGCAGATGTGGGACAAGTCAAATGAGGCTCTCTTTTCACTGACAGGGTTGCTGACCAGGCAAGTCAATGTGGAGTCAAAAGGTATGGTCTTCCAGGAGACATTGAGCTGCCTCCCACTTTCAGAAAGCTGGAACTCATCCAGGCTGCTTTCTAAGGCCCTGGAGGGATTCCCTCTTTCCCAGGAGACCTTGAGTGTCTGACCTTCCAGGTGTCTGACATTGCAGGGTCACATTACATCCCTCTAGATTACTGGATATCTCTTGATGGAGCATCTGTGGTGTTGGCACTGGCTCTGTTGAAGACAGTTGAAAGCAACATAAAGTTTGGGTCCCACCCAGTACCTATGTTGTAAATGGTGCTGATCCTATTCCATGAGCCAAACAGTGAAAGGAATAACTTACCATAAACTGTGAGGCTGAAACTCTGTTCTTGAAACTGTGATTTCATAAACCAGATGCGAGCATTGTAGATCCCACTGTCATCCAACTCCAGGTCTTTGACCTTCAGTGTTGTCTCGTTCACCATGTCTAGCCGTTGTCCAAACCGGTCAGTGGGACTTGGGTGCTCCAGTTTACCGTGGCTGAATTCCCCCAGCCAAAAGCCCAGGCCACCCCTTTGGGGGTAGAAGTCCCATTCCATTTTCTCCACTGTTATTCCTTGAGATATGTTGGCAGGAAACAAGACTGATCCTCCCAGGATTCCTTTTACCTGATAGGCTGGGTTCTCCACCGCACGGCTAAAAGTGTCTTGTGAGGGGCGGGTGGTGGGGGAGGAGATACAAACAAAGGTGAAAATTAGTATCATTATCCTCTTTTAGTGAAGTCTGAAAAAGCAATTGATTAAACACTTAAATCTTTTCAAAGCTTTGCAGTGCTGAAATTTTAGGAATATCTAGCTTTGTGTAATTGTCTCAAGGAAAAATTCTGAAAAATAAGTAGAATTTCCCCTCACGAGGAACAAAAGTTCATTTATTTCAGTTCACAAGATTTATACTTCTTGGTTTTAATGAAGCCTCAAAGCACTTTACATAATCAGAGCTGTGCAAAATGTCTGTTGAAAACTCAACACAGAAAGCTCTAATCCAGTGAAAAATTATTCTAAGCAGCAATATAAAAACCACGTGTGTGTGTGTTTCGGGAAAAAATGATTATGCACAATTTTTCGTGAAACCGAGATAAGTTTATACAGAGTTCAGAGAAGCAACTGACTCTGTTCCACAAAGATCCCCAGTCACCTTTTCCTGCTCATTGGTTGGCTCCTCTAATTCACTGCTTGCTCTTAACTGACATTTATTTTGTATTGGTGGATGACTGACACATGACAGGAAAAAATCCTTCAGGGAAACATTTCTGTCCTAGAGATTCCATTCCACTCCACACCTTCAGGGGAGATGATCACCTTCATCATAGATGCAGTCTCTCCCCCCTCCCCCTTCAGCTCAGTAACAAATATGACAAGAAGAATTAAGCCTTCTCTTGGAGATTCCTTTGAAGCCACCCAGGGTGTTCTGGGAGGGTTCGAGCTGGGGAAAGGAGGCCCTCAGTGCTAGCAAACAATATTATCAATGATTTCCCTTTTCATGCCAAATCAAACTTAGAGTGCCCCCTCCATACATTTAGGTGGGTTTCTTCTTCTTCTTCTTCTTCTTCTTCTTCTTCTTTTCTTCTCAAGGAAGAGTACAGCAATACTCTGAAGAAAAGGTCTTCTGTGAGAAAAATCCACAGTCGTGGATTGTGGATTGCAGAGAGCCATGAGTGGCAGTGACGCCCCAAACTGGCCGTTTCTGGGAATCATCTATGGGAAGCTTGCTAATGTTGCACTCAGGTCCTGCCTGATGGCTTCCTTTTTTGTTTCACCACTGTGAGAAGGACAACTTCATTCTTCTGCACAGGATAAAAGGTAAAGGTACCCCTGCCCGTACAGGCCAGTCTTGACAGACTCTAGGGTTGTGCACCCATCTCACTCTATAGGCCGGGGGCCAGCGCTGTCCGGAGACACTTCCGGGTCATGTGGCCAGCGTGACGAAGCTACTCTGGCAAGCCAGAGCCGCACACGGAAATGCCGTTTACCTTCCCGCTAGAAAGCGGTACCTATTTATCTACTTGCACTTTAAGGGTGCTTTCGAACTGCTAGGTTGGCAGGCGCTGGGACTGAGCAATGGGAGCTCACCCAGTCGCGGGGATTCGAACCGCCGACCATACGATCGGCAAGTCCTAGGCGCTGAGGTTTTACCCACAGCGCCACCCACGTCTGCACAGGATAGATGCTCTAAAATAAGCCTGTTCATCCATCTTATAAGCTTGGCCCGAGTACAGGGTCTTATTCGCAAGAGTCGTGAACTTGCGGACACAACGGTCCATCCGTCCTGTCGCTTCCCAGCAGATCATACACTCCCCTTTATTTTTATTTTTTTTATAAAATATTTATTAAGGGTTTTAAACAATATAACACCAAACACATAAAACACCATCACCAAAATAAAAAATACACACAGAACGAAAAAGATACAACATAATTAAGTTTCAGAAACCAGATTTCCATAACCTTCTTTTCAGACTCCCTCACATCTCCCTTTCCTGCGTTCCCGTTTAGAAAGTCATGTTCAGCAGTACTTCACCTTCTCTCAAATCTTGTTTTAATTTGTACCTTTCAAATATTATGTCTCCAATTTTACCCTTTGTTATCAAGTATTTAAGTATTTAAGCTTGACATAATATTAGTCAAATTTCATCTTTGGTCTTATAATTCAGTTATTTTCATATTTCTTTCTGCTAAGTTACTAATGCCAAATTATCTTTCTATCCTGCATCATTCTAGCATTCATACAGTTTACAGTACTTTTGCAAATAATCCTTAAATTTCTTCCAGTCCTCTTCCATTGTCTCTTCTCCCAGGTCTCGGATTCTGCCAGTCATTTCTGCCAATTCCATGTAGTCTATCAGTTGCATCTGCCATTCTTCCAGGGTGGGCAAATCTTCTGTCTTCTATTGTTTGGCAATAAGTATTCTTGCAGCTGTTGTCGCATACATAAAGAAAGTTCTATCCTTCTTTAGCACTCTCTGGCCGACAATGCCCAAAAGGAAGGCCTCTGGTTTCTTAAGGAAGGTATATTTAAATACCTTTTTTAGTTCATTATAGATCATTTCCCAGAAGGCCTTAACCCATGGGCATGTCCACCAAAGGTGAAAGAATGTTCCTTCAGTTTCCTTACATTTCCAACACTTATTGTCTGGCAAATGATATATTTTTGCAAGCTTGACTGGGGTCATGTACCATCTGTACCATACCCTCCCCTTTAAACCAGCAAGTGCCTCACAGCAAACGTTCAAAACATCAAAATACAGAGCATTGAAAATACAAATGTAAGAAATACAGAATATGATAGTATTTTTTAAAAAAGACAGAAATAAACAATTTGGCAAACACAGAATAAATTCAACATTACCCTCCCCCCAAAAACACATCGAGGCTTTATCACAGTAAAGTTTCTGGCACGGGTCTCCCTACATTCCAGGCAGCCTGGCTTAAATGCAGTTCAGAGGGGAGAGAAAGATGGCTTACAACTGCCTTCCCATATCCTTCTCCGGAGGAGTCTGGCAGCTACAAGAGGCAAATGTCAGGGACGACAAAATAGTCACTTCCCCAGCCTCGGGAAACACCAGCTGCTGGCACAGATCTTACTGCTCTTCAGGACAAAGCAGTGCGCGACTTACCCAGAAAGTACAGAAACATGAAGAGGAAACGACTGCAAGCAAAAGTCATGTTTGCTTCTCTACCGAAGTGTATCCCTGGGTGTGGAATGTGGGGGAGGAGCAGAGTTGCTCTCTTTGCAAAGACTGGCTATTAAGAAAAGTCTTATGCTCATGAATGAATAATGTTAAGAAATTAAATTGCGAGAGGAGTCTCTGTCCCCCACAAGCACTGAGTCCCCGCTTCCCCGCTTCCAGCTGCAACAGGGAGGTTCTGCCCGACGGAGAATGTTCCCCGGGCGGGAGTTGCCCGCGTCGCTGCGCGCTCTTTCCTCCCTTTCCAGGCTCCTTGCAACAGGGAGTGCCGGCGAGGGGCGTCTCTTCCTCTTGGTTTTAATGGCGAGGGACGGGGCCTTCTCCACCGCTGGGGCACCCCATTCCGAGAACGACCTTTCCAAAAAAAGCAGCAGAAGTGTGCCAAGAGCAGGGCACATAGCTGTCAACTTTTCCCCTTTTCTGGCGAGGAATCCTATTCGGAATGAGGGAATTTCCCTTTAAAAAAATGGAAACGTTGACAGCTATGGCAGGGCAGTGTGAACTGGATTCCTGCGTCTCGACCCCGCTCTTCTGATCAACTTTCCCTTATTAACGCCAGAAATGTTTCCGGACGTTTCGACGGCTTTTCTCTGCAGCGCCTCTCTTGCCAGAGACTTCAATCATTCAGTGTGGGGAGCGGAGGCGCAGAGAAGGGGGGGGGGGGCAGAAGAGGGCGCTGCTTGTGGATACCGCGCAGGAACTTGTATGTTGTGGAGCAACTGCATCAGTTATTATTGCTATTATTTAGCCAGCAGCTAAATAATAAGGAAAATATGTCTCGTTTTGTTAGCCCCCAAATGGAAAACGAGCGAGATTCCCAACCGAAGAAAAACGGCAACTTAAGCTAAATCAATGTCTTAAGCTAGGAATAGGAGGAGATGGGGGCAGCAGCAGCAATTCACAGGATCAGATCAGTCTTCAAGGAGCTCTGTGTATGATCCGATCCTGCTCACAAGCATGTGAAGAGCAGCATTTATTAATACAGTGGTACCTCGGGTTAAGAACTTAATTCATTCCAGAGGTCTGTTCTTAACCTGAAACTGTTCTTAACCTGAAGCACCACATTAGCTAATGGGGCCTCCCACTGCCGCCAGAGCACGATTTCTGTTCTCATCCTGAAGCAAAGTTCTTAACCCGAGGTACTATTTCTGGGTTAGCGGAGTCTGTAACCTGAAGCGTATGTAACCCGAGGTACCACTGTATAGGATACAACATAGATTTTAATTTTGGGGAAAAACTTTGGAAGAACGATCTGAAGTTTTCAGCATGTTATTCTTTGAAGGATAATTATTTGAAAATGATTTGCAGATGGTATTTAGCTCCGAGTAGACTTGCTAAGATGCATAAGACTTATCTGCACTGGAGATGCAATGAGGTTGAGGCAATGTTCTTTCATATGTGGTGGACCTGTAAATGGGTAAAAGAGTATTGGGAAATGATCCATAAAGAATTGAAAAAAATGTTCAAAAGTACCTTTCAAAAGAACCCCACCAGAATCCTTTTTGTTGGGGATAGATAGTTCAGATGGAAATTCCCAGGTGTCAAAAAAGGCTATTTATGTTTGCCACTACTGCTGCCTATGTTTTGTTAGCCCAGAAATGGAAAATGACAGAGATCCCAACTAAAGAAGAATGGCAACTTAAACCGATGGAATATGTGCAGCTTGCAGACCTAACATATAGAATAAGAGAACAAGAAGAACATACATTTAAAGAAGATTGGAAAATACTTATTGAATATATGGGGGGCGGGAATTGTGTACACTTGAAAACTTTGGCAGCATTAAGAAAAATTCAGCAGTGTAAATAAGTTTGGATGGATGGATTATTGGAATACTGAATGGTTTCGTTTATGTAAAATATACAGGGATTTATGGTATGCAAATTGAACCATGAAAAGAGAAGAAGGGAAGTCATTGATGTTTTAAACTGTAAAACTGAAAACTAAAAATTACACAGACACAAACAAAGAAATCAGGCATGGCGCTCACTCTCTGACTTTAGCCCAGCTCTCACACACTCAACTCTTTCTCACTGCCAGCCAAGTGAGGGAGAGGGCTGACCCATTTGCCCTCTGGTATAAGCAGCTTCCTTTGTTATACTAATGACCTTCATTAATATACTTAGTTGGCAACTTTGACCCTTGTCCAGCTAATTCAACAATGGAATCCTGGCGCCGTTGCCGGCACTGTTTTGTGTTGGGGTACGTATGGTTCTGCCACTACTGGTGGCCAGGAGGGGTCTTCGGTGGTTCTCTCTTTTGATGGTCCCTTAATGGGATCTCTAGCACCGTCTTCCAGAGGGGTGCCTTCTCCTCCAGGTCCTTGGCTTGTGGGGTGCAATGTTCATTCCCTGAAGATTCTGGGTCTGATGCAGAGTCAGAACAGACAGAAGGACAAGGTTTCCAGGGTGGTGGGGAACTCATTGAAACTTCCGTGCTGTTCCAGAAAACCTGCAGGAGCAGAGAGAACCAGAACCAGCTATAGAACATGACAGGAGAGATTCAGATGCAGCTCCTTAAAAAGTCACTGAGGATTTGTACCCACCTAAATAAACTTGGGGAAGAAAGGGGTTCTGGCAAAGCCCAATGGTGCCCTAAGAAAGATCACAGACACCTTCTCTATACATTTCCACTCATTTTGGGTTAGCATTTGGTTGTACAGGTTCCTGGATCACTCACCCTAAGTTGGGGTGTAGTTGTCCATTTTTAGCAGACAAAAGGAGGCAGTTTGCTTCTGCTGGCCGTGACATTTTTAAAGTCAAGGTCCATGTCTCAATTATTGTTTCATATTCCAGTTGGAATTGATGATACAATTAGCATTTTAGAAGGCACCCAGAGTAGCTGCTGAGTGGAGAATGCAATCCTGCTGGGGACTGTTCTACATGCACCTTTCGCTGTGAAGAAGCAGAATCCTGCAGCCAGAAGGATCAAATGCTCTGCTCATCAGTGGGTGAGAGGAGAGTTTAATCCTGCTCAGTTTGACTGTGCATGCATGTTCCCCTGATGGGAATTGGCTCTTTGCAGAGGCTGCCTCCCTCTCCTTCATGAATTGTATGAACTGGATTCCTGTTCACAAAAACCAATGCCATAATACAGGTGAAATGTCATTATAATGCCTTACGCCAGGGGTCAGCCACCTTTTTCAGCCGTGGGCCGGTCCACTGTCCCTCAGACCATGTGGGGGACCAGACTATATTTTGAAGAAAAAAATGAACAAATTCCTATGCCCTACAGATAACCCAGAGGTGCATTTTAAGTAAAAGGACACATTCTACTCATGTAAAAACATGCTGGTTCCCGGACCGTCCGCAGGCCGGATTTAGAAGTCGATTGGGCCAGATCCGGCTCCTTGGTCTTAGGCTGCCTACCCCTACCTTATGCCATAATAAATTTCCCATTTCCCCCTGACCTAGGGAATAGGGTCCAGACTCACCCTGAACAGCTAAAAGAGGCTCCTGGGAGGCCACTGGCTGGGACATTGCTGGAACAATTCTTGGATTGGGGCAACTGGCTAAAATGTTTTAAAATGCTCTAATTTAAAATGTTCTAATTTTGGTTCCTCTGTTTCATTTTTGTTGGTTTGTTGGTTGCTTGTATAGGTTCCCGCCCCCTAATATTTGATGTTTTGTTGTCTTTTTATATATGTTGTAAGTCACCCAGAGTGGCTGAGGACACCCAGCCAGATGGGCAGGATATAAATTTAAATCAATCAACCAACCTCTTGATCAGTGAGTTGGGTAAGGGAGAGGGGTAGTTGTGGCTTAGTCTTGTTGCCTGTTTGTAATCTGTTTTGTGTGGTTGTTTTTTCAAAATAAGAACAGATCACAATTGTAACGATTTTATAATTATAACGATTTTATACCACTTCACGAGCTCATCTCACCTGATTCTCACCATCTTGTTGTGGATTTCTTGCTGAGTTCTGGTGTGCAGAAGAGCTCTCCATGTCCTCCGGTATCGACGAGTGAATATCTGAAGAGACATATTATTTATTCCATTACCAACTTCTGCCTCTCAAAATAAGCAAAAGTAAAGTAAAGGTGTATTTGACAAGCAGCCTCCATCCCAGCTGAGGCAGGAAACAGATTGAAAGAGATGGCCCTACCTCTTTCCTTCTTTTTGAATTTTCACTTTCTCCTCATCCACATCCACATCACTGCCACCACCATCATGATCAGCAACATGACAACTGCAGTGGAGATAATATGCCTCTGGCGTCTGACCTGTACACCTGCAATGTGTAAAGAGAGTCTCTTGAAATATTCTCTAATAACAACCACCAAAGTGACCTTCCTGCATGACTTGGAAGGCTAAGCAAATGTGCCAGTCTGTTCCATTTGTATTGACTTTATTGGATTACTTTGGCACAGAGTTTAGGTCCATCATTTCGGTTTGCATTTCATTTCCCCCTATCGTTTTATTTTTATTTTTCATTTACAAACTGTATTGCAACCAACAATTGCCCAATTCGTTCATGATAAAATAAGGTAAAACACAGAGATTCAGAAGATCACATACCCAGGAAGCAAAAAGCAATTCAACCATTTCTACAAATCACAGAATTGTAGAGTTGGAGGGTCATTTAGTCCCACCCCCTGCAATGCAGGAAGCTTTGGCCCAACTTGGGGCTCAAAGCTACAACCCTGAGATTAAGAGTCTCATGCTCTACCAGCTGAACTATCCCACTTAAAAGCAGCTATTCCTCCATACACTGACTAGGTCACACTTGCTCACCATCATCACCTGGGCAAATTTTGAGCAAGTCAAAGGAGGCATTCTTTTGGTCAACAGAATTAGTAAGCAGGCAGGTGAACGCCGAGTCCGAAGAGTCTTTTCGCCAGAAGACATGGAGATTCCTTCCACTGTCAGAAAGCTGATACTCGTACAGGCTGTTTCCTAATGCCCTTGGGGGATTCCCTCTTTTCCATGAGATACTGAACTCTTCCTTTCTAGGTGCCTGGCACTGCAGGGTCACACTGCATCCCTCTGAAGTCTGGGAGACTTCCTGAAAGTGTATCTGTGGTGTTGGCACTGGCTCTGTGAAACACAAATGAAATCAGCACAAGGGTTATGTCCCACCCCTCCCAGTACCTATGTTGTAAATGGTCTGATTCCGTTCCTTGAGCAAAACAGTGAAAGCAATAACTTACCATAAACAGTGAGGTTGAAACTCTGTTCTTTAAACTGTGATTTCATAAACCAGATGCGAGCATTGTAGATGCCACTGTCATCCAACTCCAGGTCTTTGATCCTCAGTGTTGTCTCATCCACCATGTCTAGTCGTTGTTCAAACCGGTCGGTGGGACTTTGGTGCTCCAGTTTCCCATGACTAAATTCTGCAAGCCAAAAGCCAGGGCCACCCCTTTGGGGATAAAAGTCCCATTCAATTTTCTCCACTGTTATTCCTTGAGATACATTGGCAGGAAGTAAGACTGATCCTCCCAGGATTCCCTTTACCTGATGGGTTGGGTTCCCCACTGTATGGCTTAAAGTGTCTAGCGAGGGGAGGGTGGTGAGGGAGGAGATACAAACAAAGGTGAAAATTAGTATCATTATCGTTTTGAGCTCCTTATCCATATTCCATCATGAGGTCCCAGAAAAGGTTGCAACAATTTAAAATGCAGCATTAAAACGTGAGAGGGAGGGTCCAAAAATGATACTGCAGGTGTCAGTGGTATGGTGAAAGGGTGAATCTTCAGCATATAATGGAAACTCTTCAATGAAGGTGCCGGGAGCATCTCTGTGGGGAGGGACATCTGCAGTTTAGCAGCCTGCCACAAAGAAGGTCCTCTCCTGGGCTGACTCTCCCCCCAAATGTTTGAGGAAGGTGAAACTAGTCTCTCAGGTATTTTGGACCTAAATAAAAGAAAGTTTACAATATCCAATATTAATTGTAACTGTTGCTGAATTGTACACTGAGGCACTGGAAATACCCAACTCACTAGTAAAACATTTACTACATTCTCTTAGCTGTCCAAACAATGTGGCCCTTTACTGTAAGAGACGGACATTGTTACAAGTCCAAAGTTACATTCCAAAAATCAAGTGCTCTTTGTTCTCCAGCAATAGGCATCTATCTGGTGTCCAGGAACTGGGATCCAAAAAAACTCAGAGTGAAGATTGGTCCAGGTGATTAAATTAAAATAATGTGAGGTCTGAACTTCATCTGTAAATAAAGCAACCAATTAAACACTTAAATCTTTTCAAAGCTGTCCCTTCATCATATTTTGGGGAACATTGGGCTCTGTGTAATTGTCACAAGGAAAACTTCTGAAAAGAAGTAGAATTTCCCTACACAAGGAACAAAAGTTCATTTATTTCAGTTCACAAGATTTATATATTGCTTGGCTGTAAGAAAGCCTAAAGGCAGAATCAGAGCTGTGCAAAATGTCTGTTGAAAACTCAACACAGAAAACTCTAACCCAGTGAAAAATTATTCTAAGCAGCAATATAAAAACCACATGCATGTGTGTTTCAGGAAAAAATAATTATACACAATTTTTCGTGAAACTGAGATAAGTTTATACAGAGTTCAGAGAAGCAACTGACTCTGTTCCACCAAGATCCCCAGTCACCTTTTCCTGCTCATTGGTTGCTCCTCTAATTCACTGCTTGCTGTTAACTGACATTTATTTTGTATTAGTTAATGACTGACAAAATCCTGCAGGAAAACATTTCTGACCTAGAGACGAAGTCGACTTGCAGTCGTCATATCCTGTGCTTTTATTTCGCTCCACTGCACACCTTCATCATACACACAGATTGTGTCCCCCCCCCCAAAGCTCAGCTCAGTAACAAATAATACACACACGATTAAACTCTCAAAAGCGTTCTGTTGGAGCTTCCTTTGAAGCCAGGGGGAGGTTCCAGCAGGGGAGAGGAGACCCTGAGTGCTAGTAACCAATATTGCCAGTAATTTCCCCCTTCATGACAAATCAAACTCACAGTGCCCCTCCATGCATTTAGGTGGGGTTTCTTTATTTTTGTTTTTGTTTTGTTTTTGAGAGAGAAAGCAGTGAAGTCCTTACCCAAGGAAGAGTAGAGCAATAGTCCGAAGAAGAGGTCTCCTGCGAGAAAAGTCCACCATCTTCTCTCTCCAGATGTGCAGGGAGGCATGAGCAACAGTGAGGCACCAGACTGTTTCTGGGACTCACCAATGGGGAGACTTGCGCCTGTTGAGCTCAGGTCCTGCCTGTGGACTTCCCATTGAGGCACCTGTTTCACCACCATGAGGAGAACAACTTCATTTTTCTGCACAGGAGAGATGCTCTAAAATAAGCCTGTTCATCCATCTTATAAGCATTGCCCTACTACAAAGTCTTATCAGCAAGTGTCACAACGGACGGCTCCTGCCTTCCTCTCGCTTCCCAGCAGATCAGATCCTCCTCTTCAAACCAGCAAGGCTGTCTGTGCTCGCTCTCCCTCCCCGTCTCATCCAGGCAAAACTGTGTTTCCCCTCCTTTTTCTGACTCCTCATTTCCCTGCTCTTTGTACCTCCCCTTATAAACCAGGAAGGATCAGCGGAGGAGGAGAAAGAGTGTGAGCACTCAGGGTGCTTCTTTGTTGTTAAACACCTGCCTGTGTGCCTGTTAAATGTTTCTGCTTAGAACAGGTGTTTGATTCTCACCCACATCTGGAGACCACCAACCTTTCAGAGTCTTGCAAAACCCTTGCAAAGGAGAGAAACAGTTGCAAATGTGCAGCAGCAACAACAGCAGCAGCAGTAGAGACTGTTCCCTGAGGATGAGTGGGGCACTGCCTTTGCCAGGTTTAGCCTGTCCTTAGCCTAAAGTTACCAGATTTTTTTTCAAAGAATCTGGGGACCCTTTTTTTTTTTGGAAAAAAAGTTATTTTTTTTTAAAAAATCAAGAAGTAATACCTTCTCTACTGTGGTCTCCTCTGGGCCCTGGCCTGCTTCCTTGGAGTGCTAGCCACCATGGAGTAGGCTCAGGTCAGACCTGGGCTCAGCCACGTGTCCTTGCCCTCCCAGGGCTCTCCTACCTCTCCTCCCTAGTGGCGGCGGCAGTAGTGGTGCAGCAAGGTCAGGGCTCCCCTCTTTTTTTTCCTCCTTCCTCTTCCTCTCTCTTCCTTCTTCTACTCTCCTCCTTCTCCCTGCATCGGCTCTGGGTTTTTCCTGGCCCCAGAGCACTGCTGGGCAGTTGGCTGGGTGGCCAGGCATTCTCGCTCCTGGCTCAATTTGGGTTGCAGGGGTTGTTCCCCCAGTTGATGCACTGGGTGTCCCTGATTCCCCCTCGGCAGTGGTGGCGGTGGCGGCAGTCTCAGCAGCCCAGAACCAGTCTGGTAGCGCAAATGGCTGGCTTCAGGAGGTGCTCACTGCCATGGTGCCCGCCATTTTGCCTCTCCAGAAGTCTCCATATGGTGTGTCTTGTGCCATTGAACTGATCACACAACATTCATTCCCTACTAATAAATCTACAACAATTAAAATATAAATCCGGAAACATTAACTGAAATCTGGGGACATTCTGGGGACAGATTTTGTCTGGAGACAGATTTGTAAATCTGGGGACTGTTCCCGGGAAAAGGGGATGTCTGGTAACCATACCTTAGCCAGTCCCCACCTGTCTTCTTTTTCACTTTCAATGAGCCCTGGCACTGCCTCCTCCTTAGTACCTTTTACTCTTGTACCTTTCAGTCAGGTGGATTGTCCTACAAACTGAGCTCAGTAACAAAGATTTCTGTCATTGCCCCACCCTCTCCAGGAACCGGGTGCTGGTAACCAAGATCAGCTGCCTCAGTTACTGCCCTCTTGATTGGTATCGACTGAGTTTATTTATATGCATCTGTTTGAGCTGTGCCCAAAGTGGCTTACAGCAAACATGCAAATCATTAAAAAAAACACAGAGCACTGGAAATACAAATGTACAAAATACAGAATATGACACTAAATTTAAAAAAATGACAAAAATAAACAATTTAGCAAACACTGAATAAAATCAATATTACTGCCCCCACCCCACAAAAAAATGGAGGCTTAAGTACATGGATACAAAACAACACAAGAGTTAACTGACAATGAAGTTTCAGGCACTGGTCTTGCTACATTCCAAGAAGGCCGGCTTTAATATAGTTCAGAGGGGAGGGGAAGATGGCATACAGGTGGCTCCCATATCCTTCTCCAGAGGAGTCTGGCAGCTGGACATTGATGGTCAGTCTCTTCCCCAGCCTCTGGAAACACCAGCTGTTTGCACAAGTCTTATTGCTCTTCAGTGTAGGGGTCAGATGGGATTACCATGAGGAATTATAGAATATACATCAAGCCATTGTGTCCACGATGAAGACATTGTGTTGACTGGGTTTGATATATTGACAATAATTTCTGATTAAATCCCATAAGATTCTACATTCATGCCCTTTCCATGCCCTTTTGCCTCTGCTGCCCACTTCTCTTCTCACGTACACAGCCCAGTTGCTTTGCCAGGCAGGCATCCTGTGCCATAAAGATAGTGGGCAAGTTTATTTGAAGTAGTTTCTTATATATTAATCTTAGGATGTTAATCTTAGGGCCAGGAAACAGATCTCACATGAAGGTGATAGTGATCCGCTGTCCTCCTGGTCATCCTTCTTATCATATGTATTGCTTGTTTATTACCTCCGGGGTTGCCAGATGCTCTTCTTTTTAGTTCTGTTCTTTGTTTACCCCAGAAATATTTGGCTTAATTAGTTTTAGTAGGTTAACTTTCTCCCCACGTGGGTTTGTGGAAATGCTCAGAAGAAATCTGATTGGTTCTTACGAACATGCTGTAAAAAGTTCTTTTGTAATAAAACGGCCTGGGCCCTGGGCTGCGGAGATCTGATGGACAAGCACAGAGAGACATGATTATACGCACCCTTCCCAGAGTCTTGCTGGTTCAAGCCTCTGTGTGTATTCTTAATAATCAGAGTTCAATCCTTCCTTTACTTTGCGAATGCAACATTCAGGACAAACAGTGTAGGACCAACCCAGAGCAAAGTACAGCAACATTCTGAAGAGGAAACGACTGCACAAAAGAGTCACGTTTGCTTCTCTACGGAAGTGTATCCCTGGGTGTGGACTGTGGGGGAGGAGCAGAATTGCTGTTTGCAAAGATTGGCTAATAACAAAAGTCTTCTGACAGATCTGGGCACAGACAAAGCAATGAAAAAGGCTGGCAGCTTTTGCAGACTCAGGAGACTATTACAGATTTAACAACAGCAAAAAACATTCTTATTGCCCAGGTTTTTCTTTGCTTGAAAGAAGTTCAAAGAAGCGAAACTCTTAGGTCACTGAACCCCAAAGAAATGTTCATATGCCCTCAGACCCCAAAATTAACTCCAGAGGGGAGATCAGGAACATCAGAACCTAAGAAGATCCTGTCTAGCCTGGCATCCTGTTCTTCTCACAGTGGCCAGCCGGAAACTGGCAAGCAGGACCTGAGCAAAAGGTCTCCTGTGCTTTCCAGCAGCTGGTATTCAGAAACATTGCTGCCTTCAATGGAGAAGACAGAGGAGAGCCATCCTGCCTAGAGTCCATCAATAGCCTTCTCCTCCAAACATGTATCTCATCCTCTTTTCAAGCCATCCAGGATGGTGGTCATCACTGCCTCTTGTGGGAAGATGCCTCTCCTGTGGGTGGTGGGATCGTGGTAGTTAAGAATATAGATCAGCACATAGATAGTTGAGTGTGTGATCAACCATGGGGTGAACAAAGGTTGTGGATGTTGCTCATTGCCTAGAGAGCCTCGCAGACAGTGCTGGGGAAGAGTCAGTGGCACCAGTGACATGGGGAAATGTAGTCTAGGGGTCCTGGAAGCCAAATTTAAGAAGCTAGGAAGGATGCTGAAAGTCAGGACCTCCAAGGTAGCCTTCACTGAAATACTACCAGTTCCATATGCATGGCCAGACAGACAAGTGCAGCTGTGTGGCCTCAATGTGTGGATGACATGATAGTGATCGGAGGAAGAGTTTGGTTTTGTTCTGTACTGGGGAACATTCTGGGGCAACCTGGGCCTGTACAAAAGGAATGGGCTCTACTTGAACTGGGACAGTTTTATTTTAAATTTTAAAAGGTGACAGAGCAGCTTTTATATTTTTTTGTGAAAATTTAAATGTGGGTGGCTGAGAATGGGCAGCGTAAGTGCAGGGGCACCATATAGCAATTCAGAGAGAATTTAGGAGGAATAACCAGCGGCACAAATATAAGATGGGGGACACCAGACTTGCCAGTAGTACAAATAAAAGAGGTCTAGGGGTCTTCATAGATCACAAGCTTAACAGGAGTCAACAGTGTGATGCAGCAGCAAAAGAAAAGAAAAGAAAAAGGTAATGCTATTCTAGGCTGCATCAACAGAAGTATAGTGTCCAGAACAAGGGAAGTAATAGTCACATTTTATTCTGCCTTGGTCAGACCACACCAGGAGTCCTGTGTCGAGTTCTGGGCACCATAATTTAAGAAGGATATTGACAAGCTGGAACATGTGCAGCGGAGGGCAACTAAGATAATCAAGGGTGTGGAAATCAAGCTTTATGAAGAGCAGCTCAGCTGAGAGAGTTGGGTGCAACACTGTACTTGACCTCAGGCTGGGGCTGGGGCTGGGGCAGCCTCTGTCAGCTCCAGAGGTGGAGCCAGTGGGGCAATAGGCAGAGTGCTTGAGCCACCACGTGGCTCCTCCTCACAAAATTCATGAATATTTCTGGCCAGGAATATACAGTGATACCTTGGTTTACAACCATAATCTGTTCCGGAGGTCCGGTTGTAAAGCAAAACAGGTTGTAACCCAAGGAGCTGTTTTACCAGTGGGGCCTCCCCCCAAAAAATAGGTTGTAATCCAAAAAAAGGGACACACACTTCAGGGTGTGATGGCCTGGGATTCGGACTTGGAGGCTGAACCTGAGGAATCCCAGCCTGCACAAGAGTCCCCGCCTCCAGAACCAGCTGAACCGGGGCTGGGGCTTGAGCCTGAAGGGTCCTCACCTGTGCTGGATCCTCACCTGTGCTGGGGAGAGTGCAATCCTGTTGGGTTCACTGGGGGAAGGAAGTGGGAAGCAGAACACTGCAGCCAGAGGGCTGAATTCTCCATTCACTAGCTGGAGAGAAGAGGGTTCAATTCTGCTCACTTCAACTGAGCATGCATGTTCCCCTGATGGGAACAGTATCTTTGCACAAGCTGCCTGCCTCCCCTTGTGCCATAATCCATTTGTTAGGTCTTTGGATCAGGAGGTTTGGGTCACTGGCCTGTTGTTGTTTTTAATCCAAATAATTTTTATTGTTTTAATGTAAATACAAGAGCAACATACAAATACAGTAATTTGCCCAGTAGTACATTCTTATTAAGTTTCATATGCAGCACACAGTACACAAGCAATACATTTATTTATGCATTATCAATTCAAGTAGCCTCTCCACAGAGATTCTTATGCTGTGCGTGGAATAAAAGTATACTCTGTCTCATTTTATAAAGGAAAAAGAATGGAAGCAAAGTCTCGCCAAAAGTGTCTATTTTGAAGTGCCTTTAATTACCTTCCTATAGTGAGTAAGGCGTTCAGATATATACCCAAATTTCAGTGGGGATATCTATAGGTTGTTTCCAGTATTGGCCATTGTAAAAATACAAAGTCTCTGCATTTAAAGTTATTGTTTAAATTTGAGTCTAATGTTAACAAGGCAAGAGCTGGTGTGGGTGGAAGGGATTGTTGCATAATTTTGGAAATAGGAGTATTACAATATGGAGCTCCACCACACATGGAAATATGAGCCTTTCCAGCATAAGGGAGAGATGCTAGAGTTTATCTTGGTTGTAGGTGATGGAGTCCAGAGTTGGCAAAAGATAATTTTAAGAGAAGCTTCCTGTAGGTGAGCAGAGATGGTTCGTAGGGACGGGTTGTGCCAAACTGATTGCCGTTCATTATCAGGAAACTGGCTTGTTTGAAATCCACTTGTTCTTGCTGTTGCTGTTGTTTCTTCAAAAATAACAGATTGCAACTTTAATAATAACGTTATAAATGCCTCCCAAATGTATCAGATGCTTTCATTGTTATTATCTACCGATCACCCCTTCATTCCTTTGCGCACTGATCATCTCACCTCATCATCCCATCTTCTGTGTGGCTCCTCTCTGAGTTCACAGAAAGAACACCTGTGGAATGCAACATGAGACACATTATTTAGTCAATGGCACGGACCAGTCTCTGCCTCTCAGGATAAGCAAAAGAAAGGTATTTGGGGCAATTAGGGTCTGGTAGGCTTCCACTGCATCGCTGCTCCACCGGACCATAGCAGAGTAAACACAGCGGGTGCTGTGTGTGTGCAAGAATGCAGAAAACAGAGTCTTTACTCAGCTTCTTTCTAATATAGAAGCATTTATTTACAGCAGTAATAAATCAGCAAAATGTCTCCCTTCTCCCTTCTGGGTCACAACTGAAACCAGATACAGAACAAAGAACAGTTCCCCAGATGTGGAACTCCACCCCTCAGTAGGCAGGATGCTGGACTCTGAGCTGTTTAACGCTGTAAGCTCTGATTCCCCTCACAGTATATTTGGCAGGAAGCCCCCATCTCAGGAGAGATGGGAAGATCAATAGAGATGGTTCTACCTATTCCTTTCTAATCTGATCTTCCAGCACATCCCCATCCCCATCCCCATTATCACCAGAACTATGAGGGAAGGGATAAGCCATAGAATCCAACTTGAACGTCCAAGCTCTCCACCTGCAATGAACAATAAGAGTTTCTCAAAACATACTCTAATAACAACCAACAGAATGACTCTCATAGAATCATAGAATTGTAGAGTTGGAAGGGACGGCTAGAGTCATCCAGTCCAACCCCCTGCTTTGCAGGAATCTTTGGCCCAAGGAATGGCTTGAACCCATGACCCCGAGATTCAGAGCCTCATGCTCACACCTGGCCAAGAGCAGTAGAATAAATAACAAGAGATCATAGAATCATAGAATCATAGAGTTGGAAGAGACCACAAGGGCCATCGAGTCCAACCCCAGATAAGCAAGTGTTTCTAATCTGTCCCGTTTCCATTGCGATGATTTGGGCTGTGAATGCCCTGTCAGACACACTTGCCTGCCCTGAATCAATGTCTTAAGCTAGGAATAGGAGGAGATGGGGGCAGCAGCAGCAATTCACACGATCAGATCAGTCTTCAAGGAGCTCTGTGTTTGCTCCAATCCTGCTCACAAGCATATGAAGAGGGGCATTTATTAATACAAACACGTCTCCTCAAATCCCTCATGTTAAGGGCCAGTCTGCATATTCACCACTACAAGCACCTCCCCTGGATAATGAAGGAAAGCATATATTGCTCACCTTCATCACTCTGGCAAATGTTGAGCAAGTCAAAAGAGGCTCTCTTTTGATCAACAGGATTTCTGACCAGGCAGGTGAATTTGGAGTCCAAAGAACTGTTCCAGAAGGAGACATGGAGCTCCCAGCCATTGTCAGAAACCTGGTACTGATTCACACTCTTTCCTAAGGCCCTGTGCAGATCCCCTGTTTCCCAGGAGATACTGAGATCTTCCCTTCCAGGTGTGTGGCATCGCAAGGTCACATTACATCCACCTGGAGTCTTGGAATCCACTTGGTGGTCTATCTGTGGCGTTGGCACTGGCTCTGTGGAACACAAATGAAAAGTGACATGAAGCCTATGTCCCACATTCCTCTCAGTACCTATGTAAGAAAATGCTGTTGATCCTATTCCTTTATCAAGATAGTGAAAATAACAGCTTACCATAAACAGTGAGGCTGAAACTCTGTACCTGAAACTGCACTTTTGTAAACCAAACACGAGCTGTGTATATCCCACTGTCATTCAACTCCAGGTCTTTAATCCTCAGCATTTTCTGGTTTGCCATGTCTAGCCGTTCTCCAAACCTCTCAGTGGGATTTGGGTGATCTAGTTTCCCATGTCTGTCTTCACTAAGCCAAAGGCCCAGACCACCAGTTTTCGGGCGGAAGTCCCATTCAATTTTCTTCACTATTATTCCTTGGGATACGTTGGCAGGAAATGAGACAGATCCTCCCAGGATCCCATTCACCTGATGGGTTGGATTCCCCACTGGATGCCTTAAAGCTTCTATTGAGGGGCAAGTGGTGGGGGAGGAGATACAAAGAAAGGTGGAAATTAGTATCGTTGTTCAGTAATGTCTGAACTTCATCTGTAGGGGGGAAAAAGCAATTGATTAAACGCTTAAGTCTTTTCAAAGCTGCCGATTGGTCATATTTTGGGGGACATCTGGCTCTGTGTAATTGTCACAAGGAAAAATTCTGAAAAAGTAGTAGAATTTCCCCAAACAAGGAGCAAAAGTTTATTTATTTCAGTTCATAAGATTTATATACTGCTTTGTGGTAAGAAAGTCTCAAAGCAGTTTACAAAATGTCTGCTGAAAACTCAGCATTGAAAGCTCTAACCCACTGAAAAATTATTCTAAGCAGCAATCTAAAAACCAACTGCATGTGTGTTTCAGGAAAAATGATTATGGACATTTTTGTGTGAAACCGGGTTAAGTTAACACAGAGTTCCGAGAAGAAACTGACTCTGTTGATACAAGATCCCCAGTCGCCTTTTCCTGCTCATTGGTTGGCTTCTCTAATTTGCTGTTTGCTCTTAACCAGGGGTCAGCAACCTTTTTCAGCCATGGGCCAGTCCACCATTCCTCAGACCTTGTGGGGGGCCGGACTATATTTTGGAAAAAATATATGAACGAATTCCTACGTCCCACAAATAACCCAGAGATGCATTTTAAATAAAAGGACACATTCTACTCATGTAAAAACACGCTGATTCCCGGACTGTCTGTGGGCCGGACTGAGGCGGCGATTGGGCCGTATCCAGCCCATGGGCCTTAGGTTGCCTACCCTTGCTCTTAACTGACATTTATTTTGTATTGGGTAATGAATGGCATATCACAGGAAAAAATCCTGCAGGAAAACATTTCTGTCCTAGAGATGAGGTCGACTTGCAGTCACCATAGCCAGTGTTTTTATCCCATTTCATTCCACACCTTCAGGGGAGATGATCACCTTCATGACAAACAGAGATTGTCTCCCCCAAGTTCAGTTCAGTAAGAAATATCACACAGAGAATTAAACTTTCAAAAGCCTTTTGGCGGAGCTTCCTTTGAAGCCAACAAGGGTGTTCTTGGAGGGTTCCAGCTGGGGAGAGGAGACCCTGAGTGCTAGCAACCAATATTGCCAATAATTTCCCTCTTTATAACAAATGAAACTCAGAGTGCCCCCTCCATGCATTTAGGTGGGGTTTTTGTTTTATTTTTGAGGGAGAAAGCAGCAAAGTCCTTACCCAAGGAAGAGTACAGCAATAGTCCGAAGAAGAGGCCTTCTGTGAGAAAAATCCACCATCGTATCTCTCCAGAAGTGCAGGGAGGCATCAGCGGCAGTGAGGCACCAGACTGGCTGTTTCTGGGACTCACCAATGCGGAGACTTGCTGCTGTTGAGCTCAGGTCCTGCCTGTGGTCATTGTGGCATCTGTGTCACCACTGTAAGAAGGACAGTTTCAAAGTGGCTCACAGCAAACGTTGAAAACTGCAAAATAAAGAGCACTGGAAATAAAAACGTACAAAATACAAAATATGATGGTAAATTTAAAAAATGACAGAAATAAACAATTTGGCCAAAAAAGAATAAATTTAATATTATCCCCCCCCCCCCAAAAAAACCCAGAGGCTTTAGTACATGGATACAAAGCAGCACAAGAATTAACTGACAATGAAGTTTCTGGCACTGGTCTTGCTACACTACAAGCAGCTTGGCTTAAATACAGCTCAGAGGGGAGGGGAAGATGGCATACAGCTGGCTCCCATATCCTTCTCCCGAGGAGTCTGGCAACTGCAAGAGGCAAATGTTGAGGAGGACAACAATGCTCAGTCTCTTCCCCAGCCTTTGGAAACACCAACTGCTTGCGCAGGTCTTGTTGCTCTACAGGACAAACAGTGTGCGATTTACACAGAGGAAAGTACAGAAACATTCTGAAGAGGAAAAGTCCGCAAGAAAAAGTCGTATTTGCTTCTCTACGGAAGTGTATCGTTGAATGTGGTTTGTGGTTTAGGAAAAGAATTGCTCTCTTTGCAAAGACTGGCTATTAAGAAAAGTCTTATGCTCATGAATGAATAATGTTAAGAAATTAAATTGCGAGAGGAGTCTCTGTCCCCCACAAGCACTGAGTCCCCGCTTCCATCGCAGGACCTGCCGAAACAAGAGCAACAGCTGCAACAGGGAGGTTCTGCCCGACGGAGAATGTTCCCGGCGGAGTTGCCCGCGTCGCTCCGCGTCTTTCCTCCCTTTCCAGGCTCCTTGCAACAGGGAGTGCCGGCGAGGGGCGTCTCTTCCTCTTGGTTTTAATGGCGAGGGACGGGACATTCTCCACCGTTGGGGCACCCCATTCCGAGAACGACCTTTCCAAAAAAAGCAGCAGAAGTGTGCCGGGAGCAGGGCACATAGCTGTCAACTTTTCCCTTTTCTTGCGAGGAATCCTATTCGGAATGAGGGAATTTCCCTTAAAAAAATGGAAACGTTGACAGCTATGGCAGGGCAGTGTGAACTGGATCCTGCATCGCGACCCCGCTCTTCTGATCAACTTTCCCCTATTAACGCCAGAAATGTTTGCGGACGTTTCGACGGCTTTTCTCTGCAGCGCCTCTCTCGCCAGAGACTTCAGTCATTCAGTGTGGGGAGCGGAGGCGCAGAGACAGACAGACAGACAGACAGACAGACAGACAGAGACAGAGACAGAGACAGAGACACAGACACACACACACACACACACACACACACACACACACACACAGAGAGAGAGAGAGAGAGAGAGAGGCCGAGAGAGAGAGAGAGGCCAGTAGAGGGCGCCCTCTCTTTGGAAGTCACTGCTTGTGGATACCGTGCAGGAGCCTTCATGGCACTGTTGTGGATGCCTACTAAGCAACTGCATCAGTTGTTATTACTGCTATTACTTAGCCAGCAGCTGGCAGCCTTCCTGGTAAGGAAAAGATGTCTCGTTTTGTTAGCCCCAAAATGGAAATCGAGCGAGATTCCCAACCAAAGAAACTGAAGCTGACAGAATATGCGCAGCTTGCAGACTTAACAAATAGAATAAGAGAACAAGAAGAACATATGTTTAGAGAAGATTGGAAAACGTTTATTGAATATATGGGGGGGGGAGAGATTGTGTACACCTGAAAATGCTGAAGAAGTGTGCATGCACATGAAAGCTCATACCAAGAACTAACTTAGTTGGTCTTTAAGGTGCTACTGGAAGGAATTTTTTTATTTTGAATATGTTTAGAGAAGATTGGAAAACGTTTATTGAATATATGGGGGGGGAGAGATTGTGTACACCTGAAAATGCTGAAGAAGTGTGCTTGCACACGAAAGCTCATACCAAGAACTAACTTAGTTGGTCTTTAAGGTGCTACTGGAAGGAATTTTTTTATTTTGAATATGTTTAGAGAAGATTGGAAAATGTTTATTGAATATATGGGGGGGGGAGATTGTGTACACCTGAAAATGCTGGCAGCATTAAGGTAAATTCAACACTGTAAATAAGTTTTGATGGAGGTAATAATGGAATACTGATCGGTTTAGTTGATATAAAATATGCAGGGATGTATGCTATGCAAAATGAACCATGGAAAGAGAAGAAGGGAAGTCATTGATATTTTAGGTAAAGGTAAAAGGACCCCTGACCATTAGGTCCAGTCGTAACCGACTCTGGGGTTGCGGCGGTCATCTCGCTTTATTGGCCAAGGGAGCCGGCGAACAGCTTCCGGGTCATGTGGCCAGCAGGACTAAGTCGCTTCTGGCAAACCAGAGCAGTGCACGGAAACGCCATTTACCTTCCAACCAGAGTGGTACCTATTTATCTACTTGCACTTTGCTGTGCTTTCAAACTGCTAGGTTGGCAGAAGCAGGGATCGAGCAACGGGAGCTCACACCATCGCGGGGATTCGAATCGCCGACCTTCTGATCTGCAAGTCCTAGGCTCTGTGGTAAACCACCCACGTCCCTTACCATTGATATTTTAAGGTTGTTTAAATGAATACTCTAAATTGTAAAACAGAAAATTTAATACAAATTATACACACACACACACACACACGGAAAAGATGTCTCAGAAAGAAAGTCTCTTTTGTGGATGTTGTGCCATGGGCACAGGTTGAAGACATAGGAGTCAAGGTCCCTTCGCTGCCACCCCCAATAAAATATTTGAGGGGGCAACCCCCCCATCCACCATTGATGGGTATTGCCATTCAAACCGTATGTGTGTGCCACGTCATGTGATTGATAATGCAGGATGGGGCTTCTGTTGCATTCTGACCTTTTCAGTTCTCCGAGATTGGGGAGAAGGAGGGAGTAATTCCCTCCCACTTTCAAGAGAATCACTCTCTGGTCTGCTGTCTCTCTGCTGGTTGTCTAGCAACCCTCCCACTGCTGTCTATCTCTCCCCCTTCTTGCAAGTTGTGCTTGTCTGCACTATCTGAGTCAGGGAACTCTTGGGAAAGGGAGGTAGAGCCCATCCCCTTCTGCTCTGTCTGCGATCTTTCATCTCCAGAGTCAGACTCTGTCTCTCTTTGTACTGGCAATCTTTCATCATCTTTCATCACCTGACTCTGACTCTTCACCAGCACTCGATTCATCCACATCCCTGACATTAAAGGTCAGACCAAGAGGAACTTGGCCCCTGAGATTGACGTCCCCCATCCCTGGCTTAGGCAGAAGACAGGTAGTGTGAAGTGCAGGTATGTTAGGCCCAGATACCTCTCACTTTATAAATTAAGCCCTGACTGTTCCACACATAAATTTCACTTCAGAACCCCACTTCAGAGGCTTGAGACAGGGGGCCATTACCAGTTCTTACCTTGAGATGCTGGAGACTGGACCTAGGGCTTTGTTTGCTTTTGTACTAAGCAGTATTCAAATCTTGTTAAATAAATAAAATAAAGCGCCCAGCCTGAGGAAACTGACAGCCCATATCCTGCAAAAGGCAGAATTCCAGTCCTCCTGGTTCTGAATAAAGGGCTGGTTTCATCTGAGGATCACAGGGTGGTATGCAATATAAAACCACAAATCACATAGTAACAAACAAAACCATTCAAGCCCTAAACGGCCTTGGTCCAGTATACCTGAAGGAGCGTCTCCACCCCATCATTCAGCCCAGACATTGAGGTCCAGCGTCGAGGGTCTTCTGGCGGTTCCCTTTCTGCGAGAAGTGAGGTTACAGGGAACCAGGCAGAGGGCCTTCTCGGTGGTGGCGCCCGCCCTATGGAACGCCCTCCTGTAAGATGCCAAGGTGATTAAAAATGATTTTAGAAAATATCTGAAGGCAGCCCTGTATCTGGAAAGTTTTAATGTTTGATGTTTCAGTATGATCTGATATATGCTGTGAGCCACCCAGAGTGGCTGGGGAAATAATAATAATAATAATAATAATAATAATAATAATAATAATAATAATAGCAATACTCCCACAACAATTTAAAAGGCCATAGGTAATCAGCCAAAGGCCTTGTTTTGGTCAGCAAAATATCTTCCATCAATAACATGAGGCTGGTGCAGAAAAGAAGGCACTGTGGTGGTAAATTGTTTCTATGATACTGTATCCTGAAAAGGAAGTGGGACGTCGCAGAGAAGATAAGGGGCCAAAAGAAAAAGCGGAAACTGCTGCGGTTGGGGGGCTGTGGTCAAAGCAGGAGGGGCTTAGCCATGCACAGTGGAGCCCATTCCAGCTCTGAAACGGGACAGTGGCAAAGAAGATGGAGTCCCAAACCACTTGGCTAATTCTGTTGCTTTGGACTATCCAATCTGCAGGTGAGGCAGGACATCTGGCAGGACATCTGCAGCCAAATGGGACCCAGGATGACTCAGGGTCCTCCTTCCATGGGTCCAGAGGCTGATTTCCTTGTTTTGCATGGGTGATCTTTCCCAGTAGAAATAAGAATGACAACGCAAGATTTTAAGGGTTAAGAGAAGCAAGGGCTGTTTGGGTGAGGAGCGTTTTGTGTGTGAAAGGTGAACGTAACGACTGAATGCAGATGGAAGTTTCAAGGACTGTGAACAGTGTGCCGATATCATTTTTATTGGGACATAAACATTCTCCCTCACCTTTCTCTTTTATAAATAGGGCCTCTAAATAATCCAGAAGAGGTTCCTCCCCAGTATCAGGTAAGCTGGACCGTAGGAGGATCAGTCTTGCTGCACGTGAACGTGTCCTCAGAAGAAACCGTAGACAAAATTGATTGGGATTTCAAGCTTAAAACTGGTTTGGAGCTCTGGTTTGCTGAATCCAGGGGTAGAAAGCTGGAGAGGCCTCATCCAAGAGACAGATTTGGGCAGCGGCTAGAAATGGTCAATGAGACCACACTGAGGATCAAAGATCTGAAGATGGAGGACAGTGGAGCATACAGGGCTCGCGTGAGCTTTGCTACACAACACTTTCAAGATCAAACATTCCTCCTCACTGTATACGGTAAGTGGTTGTTTTCTCACTTGTGTTTGATGCTTAACCGAGCATGGAAAAGGACCCAGCCCTTCCCATCCCCTGCTGTCTTTTTACTGGGCTGTTACTGGCACCCGTCAGTGGCACCGATGGCACAAACTTTCCCTACATTTCCCCACAGAGCCGGTCCCAGAGCTGAAGATTCTCCCCCGAAATGTGTCCAATACTCCATATGGCTGCAATGTGACCTTGCAATGTCAGGTGTCCGGAAAGGGAGAATTTAACATCTCCTGGAGAAGAGGGAACCCCCTCAGGGACATAGAAGTTGGGTCGGACTGGTTCCAGCTCTCTAACAATGGCAAGGACCTCCACTTGTCCTGGTGGCTCAACTCCTCAGAGCCCAATTTCACCTGCCTGGTCACCAGTCCAGACGATCAGAAGAACATCTCCTTCAGTGTGCTCAATATTTGCCAGACTAGGGGTGAGTTGGCTGCAAACCTGTGGGTGAATTGGAGGGGTTACTGGTTGTTGTTTTTAATGTATTTTTTCTAAAGATTTTCTTAGTATACAAAAGTATGTGCAATGTCTCTCTCTCTCTCTCTTTTTCTCTCCAAGTAACATTTTTTATAGATCAGTTTCATTTGCTGAGACATTAGGAGACATCGCTGGTGCAGGTTCTGTGCTATTCGCTTGTGTTCCTTTGGTGGTGAGAGAGGTTGGGGTTGGCCTAGGGTGTGGCTGTTCATTTATGGTTGGCTGTGGTGGTCTTTGTTTTCATGTGTGAGTGGGGTGGGTGGGTGTTTTGGATCAGGTTAGCCATACAGTGGTACCTCTGGTTACGTACTTAATTTGTTCCGGAGGTCTGTTCTTAACCTGAAACTGTTCTTAACCTGAAGCACCACTTTAGCTAATGGGGCCTCCCGCTGCTGCCGTGCGATTTCTCTTCTCATCCTGAAGTTCTTAACCCAAGGTATTATTTCTGGGTTAGCGGAGTCTGTAACCTGAAGCGTCTGTAACCTGAAGTGTATGTACCACTGTATTGATTTGTGTGCTGTTGGTGGATTTTTGTCATTGTCTTGTTGGGCTGTGTATGTGATAAAGGGGTGCTGCTTCGGTTTAAATATTTTCAATGGTACCTCAGTTTATAAGCTTAATCTGTTCTGGAAGACCGTTCTTAAACCAAAACTGTTCTTAAACTGAGGCACGCTTTCCCTAATGAGGCCTCCCGCCGGCGGTGCCCTTCACCTTTCGGATTCGGTTCTTAGACCGAGGCAAAGTTTTCAGACCAAGACACAATTTCCGGTTTTGTGGACTTTGTAAACCAAATCGTTCTTAAACCGGACTGTTCTTAAACCGGGGTACCACTGTGCTTGTGTTTAGGTTTGCCACCTGCCGTGTATAATACAGGATTTCCGTATTTCAATATAAAATGCTACGTCCTGTATTGATACAGTTTTATCCTGTATTTCAGGTCCTCTCTCTCTCTCTCTCTCTCTCTCTCTCTCTCTCTGCCAAGTTAGGGGTCCTCTCCAAATGCACGTGTTTGAAAGGATGTGTGAAAGGTCATGAATTGGTCATGTATTCATGCTCTGGGTAGCCAAGCACAGACAGATTTACGAACGCGTCGGTACGTGTGTGATAAATTCCAGAGGGGCCACGCTGTTAGGCTGCAATAGATGGCAATGGATTGCCCTGAAGTCATATCAGCACCAGAGGAAAAGAAAAATTGCCCCCAACTGCCCTGCCCTTCCCCAACCCATTCTGTATTTTGCCAGAACAAAGCTGGCAAACCTACTTGTGTTTCATCTTGTGTTTTATTCTGTGAACTGTCCTGAGATATAACAACAACAACAATTTATTATTTATACCCCGCCCATCTGGCTGAGTTTCCCCAGCCACTCTGGGTGGCTCCCAATCGAGTGTTAAAAACAATATTAAAAACTTCCCTAAACAAGGCTGCCTTCAGATGTCTTTTAAAGATAAGATATCTCTTGATGAAGGGCGGTATATAATTTTAATAAATAAAATAATAAATAAACAAACAAGTCTTTAACTCAAATATGTTTTTAAAAGAAGAAAACTGGGCCAGGGAAGTAAAATGTTTATCGGGGTTCACCGTCTGCAAATTGCGGAGAGGCATAGCAAAATCTTCTTTTAATGCAGATCTTCCCCCCTGCATTTTCTCTGAGCGGAGTCTCACATTCTGAAATGACAGCCCAGTGCCTGAACATTCAAGGTCTGGGAACTTTGCAAACCAACCAGAGCTCTGCTATCGAAGGTTGCAAGATGTCAGAGCACATTGGGGTCTCTCAGAAGCCACCTGGAGCTCACATTCTCCAGCTCAGGACCATGGAGAAAGGGGGCTCGGCCCCAATGTTTACCACTGGGGTAGCCAGGGCAGGCCCACAATATTAGCCTGACCCAACAGCAGGGCTCTTTTATGTTCTTATGTTCATAGCTTTTGGGGGGAGGTATTGGGAGGCTCTCATCAGGAGTAAGACATCCCCAGATATTTTCTGATGGCTCCCTCCTTCAATGTCTTCTCTTTCCCTTACAGGAGAAAACACCCCTATGTCTTGGGTAAGCCTGAGAGTTATCTTCATTCTTCTAGGACTCTTGGTGCAGATCACAATTCTCACCTTGGTGTACATATTTGGAAGAAAAGAATAGCACTGAATCTGCTGAAGTCCTTTGAGGGAGACCCATGTGAATCCCACAATATTCCCTTTTTAAAATCCATTTGTCTGACATGTTTGATTTGCACTTTTTAGTCCCTACCTGCAGCCTTCAAAATTCTGATGAGAGAACGCTTCTCATTTCTAAAGGTGTATTTTGGGAATATTTTGGTTGGGAAGGAGGTGGAATAAACAAATTTTGATGGTTTTTCTGCCTTCTGGAGAGGCCATCTCATCAGGAGGTCTCTATGGTCCTTTCAGGACTTGTTGATGAACTTTTTAGCGAGCCTTTTGAGTGGAGATATTTTTATACCCACCTGAATTTGAAATTGTTCTTATAGCTGTTTTTATTGTTGATGTTTCTTATCGTTAAATTGCTTTGGATGTTTCATGGGAAGTGATGCACGAATGAAACAAATCGATAAAATAAAGCAGAGTGATCTTCTTCACTAAACCAGGGAGGCTGGGAGTTGTACTCCAACAACAGGAGGACAACATTAACAATGCATTTTATTTGGGAAAATTGCTTGCAAAAATGTTGATATTTTAGAAAATTGCATGTCAAGTCATTTTATTACCAGTTTCAAAACAAAGAACACCACTTACAAAATTTAAAAGCTCAGAACAAAGTAAAAAAACAGCAACTGTAAAACCACATATACATGCAAAAAAAGGTAAATTAGGAAAAATGCACTCTAAAATGCTAGTGAATTATCACGAGGTCTTAAAAATATCCACAAACTGATTTTGAAATGTGGTTAATTGTATTAAATATACATGAGCAACAGATATAACTTAAGGGTGTGGAAACCCAGACCACCCCAAATTGGTTCGGATCCTGATTTGGATCTGTCCCTGATTTGCTTTGGATCAATTTGGACCCAATTCAGCTCAATTCCAGTGCATTCATCTGCCCTGGGAAACCAAAACAGCCACACACACACCCTTGCGTCGCTGGACGTAGGTGCATGAAATTTGGAGACATTGTATTCTCTCAAGAGGTGGTTAACCCCATCAAATTTCAAATAGGGTTTGTGCAAGCCACCTTTAAAGCTTACAGAAAGAAAGAAAGAAAGAAAGAAAGAAAGAAAGAAAGGTTGGTTTTAGTGCTCATTCATGCCAGTCCACATGCTCCTGTTTCGCCTGTTCCATGAAGTTTTTTTAATTAAACTTTATACTTTATACACTCTGTGTGATGCTTCTGACTGTGTACACTGTGTACAATGTACTCAAAAGACTCTCCGCCTCTCTCTCTCTCACACACACAAATGACAATGTACTAGTAAAGACACAGGAAACAGCTTTAAATGAAATGCAAACCTAATCTAAAAAAGAAAACTTTTTTTAAAAAAAATATTTTTATTAAGAATTTCAACATAACAATTTATCAAAAATACATCATCCTCATTTCCTCCCCCCATTTCCCCCCTCCCCCCATAAAAGAAAAATCCACCCTCCCACTCCCCCCCCCAACTTCCCTCAGCTCCTCTCTCTGGTTTCTCAGCACATGTTATTTTCTGTATGTTTAAAATTGTAAAGATCCTCAGTTTATCTATCTGTATATTACCAATAAAGAGCTTGAGAATGTTTATTCAAAACCTGCCAAGGAGTCCAGTTCATTTGGTTGTTTCTTTAAATACTTCATAAAAGGTTCCCATTCTTCTTTAAAGCCACAGTTATCCTTGTCATGTAGTTTATGTGTCAGTTTTGCAAATTCTGCATAGTCCACCAGTTTCTCTTGCCACAGTCCTTTAGTCGGGATTTCCTTGTTCTTCCATCCTTGTGCTATTAAGATTCTTGCCGCCATTGTCGCATACATAAAAATGTTTTTTAGTTTCCTTGGCAGGTCTTTTCCTACAATCCCCAACAAGAAAGCTTCAGGCTTTTTTTACAAATGTTAATTGGAACATTTTCTTCAACTCATTGTACGACTATCAGTTAGGTCAAAAGTGTTTTGTTATCTCTAGGGAAACTGATATGTCATCTGGACATGGAAAACCCATACCACAAAAATAAAGAAACAGGCAACCTTCAAGCCATTTTTTGAGACAGTGCAGATAAGCCCCACCCCACACACAGAGGTGACAAAATACTAAGAAATACAGGCACAGCTGTAAATGAAACACAAAAAAGAGGGACAAAATGTGTAGGGGGGAGTATAAGTGAAGTGACACAGCCTACAGAACTAGATGCAACTGAGCTTGATTGGGTTATGATGGGAAAGGATTAGGAAGCAAACAGACGTATAAGAAAGGCTGAAACAAAATTAAAAAAGTCCTTCCGGTAGCACCTTAGAGACCAACTAAGTTTGTTATTGGTATGAGCTTTCGTGTGCATGCTCACTTCTTCAGATACCTACCTGTAACAAGAAAGGCTGGTTATTGGTCTGGATAAACAAAAGATGAGCTGACCAAATTCCATCAAACTTCCTAACATTCAGAGAGAGCCATGTGCAGCTGCCCTCTCTGCTTCCTTGTGTTCTCTTTATAAGGTGCCATTTGGAGACTGGCTGTTTGGCTTTCTGGGAGTTTGGACCTCCAGAATAGTCCAAATCACTCCTGATCAATGTGAATTGTTGGGACTCATTTTGTAGCTGCATAGACCCAATTCACACTTGGTTCAAATTGGCCTGATTGCACAGCCATAATATAAACTGAAATTGAGAGACTTTATGTGAGAGCTAAGCCAATATTCTTCAGCTTTGAGAAGTAACATATAAAATGGACATCCTTGCACAGCACAAGGGACCAGTGGAAGGTGACAAGATGTGATCAGATATATTTAAAATGAGACACGAACTTTCTTGGTGTTTCCTGGCCTGCATTTTCACACCTTGGCTCTTTGATGTTCAAAGGAAGATAATTTGGACCCCAGTTGATATTTATAACACAACTAGACAGGCAGCCAACACCTTCTGTTTCTGAGAAGGGGGCCAAGAGGGGCACAAAACACTCACCTAGCTCAGTCTCTGACTCACTCGGCCACTTTTAGCAGCTTTTACATAGGAACTTCTTATTTTCCTGAAAGTAGTTATATTCACTGAGAAGTTGAACAAACACTGATAAGGCGCAAGGATACAAGGGGGTCAATTCCACTGCAAAGATGCCAAATGTAACAATTGCATAAGGGTTGCATTAAGACATGGGTAGGCAAACTAAGGCCCGGGGGCCAGATCTGGCCCAATCGCCTTCTAAATCTGGCCCGTGGATGGTCTGGGAATCAGCGCGTTTTTACATGATTAGAATGTGTCCTTTCATTTTAAATGCATCTCTGGGTTATTTGTGGTGCATAGGAATTTGTTCTTTTTCTTCTTCTTTTTTCAAAATATAATCCGGCCCCCCACAAGGTCTGATGTGCAGTGGACTGGCCCTCTGCTGAAAAAGTTTGCTGACCCCTGCCTTAGGGCTTCACATTTACAAGAAGTGAAGAAACAATTACAGGAAAGAAAGAAAACTAGATACAATTTAAATGTGCATGGATACAAATAAAAAAGAATACTTGGATACACACACACACACACACATACATATATATATATATATATATATATATATATATACTTGGATACAATTACCAAACTAGAAATAGGATAATAAGCAGTGCAGGGAAGAAAGAAAAAGGCAAAGGAGATGTTCTCATGCAGAGCTAAGGCCCTTTTATTTCTTCAGTGGACCATCACAGGGACCTTGAAATGGAGTTTTAAAAAGCATTGTAGTAAAATGTGTCAAGGGCGCTCTGCAGGAAGAGGGTAAGCGTGCTTTTGTGTGTTAGGATCTGCCAAGCCCTCCTAGGCAAGGAAGTAATATTCAAGGACACAATCCAGCCAGGCAAAAACACTCCAGGAAGCGGCAAAGCAGGGCCAGTGAGGGGAGTATCCTTAGTTATAAAATAAATCAGCCACAGAGAGATATCCAAAGCCCACTCTTCCCGAAAACTTTACACTCCATTGCTTTGGGCGAGGGTAGCTAGGCAGATCTCAAGAATATTGCCTACCCTACCTTCCTTCCACTGTTCAAGCAAAGCAAAAACCAGCGTCTTTCCTTCTTTCGAAACAAACAATATTTTCTCCTGCTGCATAAATCAGGGTCTGATCAGGGGATGTTTCTTTGCTTGGCAATTACGTCCAGATTCAAAAGTATTCCACTGCTCAGCATGGTAGCTAGCTGAGGCTGCCCTTGGATTGGGTAATTGACCCAGCGCCCTCACCTTCTCATCTGGGAGGCAAGGATTTCCACCCCCCCCCCCACACACACACAATCAAAAAAGGCATTAATGGATGACCATAGGTTGTGCCCCTTTCATACCCTCAAAGGGTATGCTGGGTGACCTTGGGCCAGTCACACTTCTTTGAAGTCTCTCAGCCCCACTCACCTCACAGAGTGTTTGTTGTGGGGGAGGAAGGGAAAGGAGAATGTTAGCCGCTTTGAGACTCCTTAAAGGGAGTGAAAGGCGGGATATCAAATCCAAACTACTATTCTTCTTCTTCTTCTTCTTCTTCAAAGAGTTACAGGGGGCTTGCCCCTTACATACACACACACCACATTTTTGCTGTCTGGGACCCCTCCCTGGCATCTTGGTGTCCGGGAGGTAACATGCCATGTTTGCTGCATACCAGGAAGTCACCATCTAGCCATCAGGATAGTGTTGGAGTAATTGGAGATGAGAAGGCATTAATTTCTTTCATGAGCGTAAATCAGTCAAGCCGGTTGCTGTGGTAACAGCCTAGTGCCCCAACTATATCTGTGATTAATGCATGCCAAATCAGTCGTTTGTCTGTTAGTCTGCAGTTAGTCAGTGTTACTTGTCTAGTGCCACATCTTGAATTGCTGGACTTATTTAGAGTAATGGAGATGCATTGTGCTTGTCTATATCTGCATATATCTGTATCTGGGAAAAGCCCAAAAGCTGTATGCATCTGTGTCCAGAACTGCTTTACTGAGCCTTACTTTCTGAAACAGTAAACCCATCCCTGCTTCCATGTGGTGTCTGGTACTGGAAGCAACTTCCACTGCTGGGTATCTCACCTGAGATACCTAATACCAACTTGCCCTTCTGCATATATAGCTAACACATAAACCAATGGTCTGATTCAGCATAAGGAAGCTATCCCTATTCTTCTTTTGCTGGGCTCCATCTCCCATCAGCCCCTGTCAGCATAGTCAATGCTCAGAGATGATAGGAATTGTAGTCCAGTAACACCTGGAGGTTGACAGGGTTTTCCAACCCTTCATTAATCTATTTCGCAGACTTGGTTGGTACTCTGTTGGTACTGAATTTTATAACAAGGAAATTAAAAGAGACCAGGAGACAAATCTTTCCTTGCATAGAGTATTTATTGAGAAGCAAGGATGAAGTGAACAGATCAAGACCAATTTTCAATAGGACTACTCTGAGCAAGACGTAATTGGGTACATGTCTCCTTGGAAGGCAAGTAAGAACAGCTACGAAACCAGCTATGACCTTTTCTAACTACTAAGTTAGACCCAAAACCTGATCGTTTGGGTCAATTGTGGAGGTAGTGGTGGTTGGTTGTCCTCAGAAAATGATGTCCATTTTGAGAAGTGTAAGAGCAAGTAACAAATTTAAATTACTTTACGAAACCACCTCACATCCCACCAGATTCAACTAAAGTTGAATTAAATCCAATTTACCTGTGACAGCTGAAGAAAAGAAGTCAGGAGGAGGCGACAGAAGCAGTTGGAAGTGTTGGACAATGTTGAGAGCTTTTATACAAGTTCTGTAGGAGCCAGAAGGCAGCCTTGGCCACTGACACTATCATTTGCTGCCTGCCTCAAGTCAAAGGGCTCCAATCACAGGTTTCTTCTGGTTTATTATCACCCACCCCTTCCTAATCCTGGGATTTGGGGTGTGTCCATCCTGTCCTGCTTTCTCCTTTCAATAAAGACCATTACAAGTCTAAGTGGCACACAGCTGGTTAGTTTTCTGGAAGCAGACCACTAATTTTAAAGGTCAGTCACAATGGCTATTTTCTTCAGGACAATTTGGGCACCAATTTCACAGTATGCTGACTACATCTTGGCCTTCAGATTATTGGGGCTTAATTTGGAAGTAGGGATGCAGGAGAAAATT